CAACTATTGAGCACAGCATGTCTCACAGAGATGATGTTGTACGGCGCTTACCATTGCACAGCTCATCCGGCAATCCGTGAGCCTCAAAAGTTCTCTACATTGCATTGCATTCATTCATTTATTCATGTTGCCAAGTCTTGTTATTGCCACATAAAGTTCTCTTGGCAGTTTGCGATACCTAAACTTACTGTCTTGTATCAGATTGAGGATATTTACGGTGGGCTATTTTTGCATCTCTACTAAAAATGGTGGGATCGCCCTCAGAATCCTGCAGGACTCAGGACTCAAGCGTCAAGACTCGAATGCTACGCCGCTATTCTTGACTCATAGCCCTGCCAGACTTGATCTCCAATTGATAGCGGGAAAAAGAAACACCCACTGTGCCCCATTGTCGCGTTGAGGATTTAATCCCCAGCGCCAATGCTCAAGGAGTCGAATGCCTGTGGTCTCGTCGCTAAACGTTATCCGTAGGGCTGGCCTTTTTTCTTCTGTCAGTTCTAATTTATTCGAGACGTGTCTTATCTCTGTGAAGTGCCGAGGGTGAGTGTCAGTGAAGCTGCTAACCGACGAGTTTTAGCGAGGGCGATCCTCTATCTGAAACCATGTTAATTAAGGTTACGTCGGGCGATGTGCCCTCAACTGGGAATATGGCCTTGCTGTCAGTGACAGGCAGGACAGGCAGGACATGAATGACATTTCGGCTTCCTCGGGCCTTACGGCGTTTAATCTCGATAGCTGTAAGCGGTGACTTTGGATGCGGTTGACCTACCTTTTGAGGCTACATTGCCTTGCTCTTCAGAAGGATGAAGCTATAATAACGGGTGATAAGAGCCTGACGATCGACATTATTTATGATGGGGGTGGAATGCAGAAAGAGACGGACGAATTAGACAGCTCACGCCCACCTCCGTAGCGTCTACCAAAAGTGGAATGCTTCCAGAAATATTCTCGAATCATTCCTCTTCTGGGCTTTGGGCATCAGGGGTTTTTGTTCGCTCTCTGACCCTGTCGGCCTGTCCCCAGCTGGGCCACGCAATCCCTGCAGGGAGAGACTAGAGAGAAAGGCAGGTCGAGGGTTCCCGCTTCTTATTCCTGTCTTGGGATTTAAGATTCATTGGGCCATGCTCGTTTCTCCAGATTGGTTTTAAAAGCGCTCTCTCCCTTTGTCTTCTGCAGGGCGAAACCTCGGTGCTTATGCGGGCCAGTCTTGTTTTGGCACGCAAACGCTATATCCTTGCCTTTTATAACATAACAGCGAGCACATATTGGTACAGACAGCATGTAAACCTGGAGATGGCTGTAGTGGTAATTAACTCGAGACAACATTCACATGCGATGGAGCTGGCAAAAAGCTGGGGCTGAAGAGGAGAAGGTCCGTCTCATAGGGCTCCAGTTTATGCTTTTTAGTGGGATAAAGGGCTCGAGCACCGGCACTATTCGGTATAATTCCGCGCTTGTTGAGAGCTTGGTTGCGCAAGATGGGAGAGACTAGCATAGACTTTACAAGTTCACGGATTGTGGGTTTTGTCTAGTTAGTGATGGTTCATAATTCAGTTCAATATTTGATCCACTCTATTGCGTTGACCTGAAAGGCATGTTCCGTGAACCATGAATGCATCAACAGAGAGTCTGGACCTTGATCATACAAGTTTGAGTTGAAACTAGGTATTTTCACATATCAATTACAATTCGCAAGACTTGCCAAGTAAAGGAAAGATTGAGGCATAATTGTTTGGCTATGGCGTATAGGTAAACACATGTCAATGAGATTATCGGCCTGGGTAGACAGAAGAGGATCATGATCCCTACCTGTCAACGGTAATAGGATGTTTTCACAAGCAATTCCTCAAAGTACATATGCATAGACAAACAAACAGAAACTCTTAAAGTAATAAGGATCAGATCAGATCATGCTTGTTTTGCGTCGTCAGTATCAGAATCTGGTGCCTACGACCGAGAAACCTTCTAGAACGGAGGTGGTTACCGTTCGCAGGACCTCCATCCGAGGGCCGAATTGGGTCGGGGGGTATTATGTGTGTTTTCCGACCATTCTGCTTCTGACGTCGATAGTTTCTCCATATTCATTAGTTTCACTCTAGTTTAGTCTACGATGCTAGCTAGCTAGCTTAGCAAAGTGGTTCCTGGTCTAAAAGTGCCGTTCTTTAACATTCCGTCGGCGGAACGGCAGTACCTGTTGCATCCAACTGAACACTACTAACCACAGAGTTCAGTTGTGACACTTTCTATCCTGAAGTTTGTTGGTTTGTCATTCCTTATCAACGCTGCTACGCCGTCGCCTCTTAATTTTACTTGTGTCTCCCTCTGTCTGCTTTGCCTCCCACTTGAAACCCTCTCCCTCCCTCCCTCCATATCACAGCAACCCAGTGCCGTACGTCTCTACCTATGTAAATAATCTCCGGCATTGTTGCCCTTACTCCTCTTCTCCTTCTCACGGAACGGATGTAACCTTGGGACCAAAAACGCACCCCACTGCTGGTTCCGGAAACCGAGGCCGTGCCGCGCCGTCGTGAGGGGATCGTGGTCCCCCTCTTCCCCCTTGACATGCCTGAACTTTTTAGCTTGTGGGGGTGTTCTTGCGATCGAACTTCAGGTTTCGGGCCAGGCGGTAAGGCAGGACAAGGGACGGACTTTTGACATAATCGCCCTTGAAGGTCAGTACGACAAGCAGGGCCAAGCATGGTAGAACGTCATGAACCCACCGAGGCATTACAACCCACAGGTAGATCATCTCCGAATTATAGATAGTTAAGTACAGTGTATGGCATGGCTCCGGAGCATTTTGAAGCAGACTTGATGCAGCTTGGTAGGGCTAGCCTTGAAGGACTTCATCAGAAACAGGAATGACCGCCGTTGAAGAGATACCTTATGCAAGTGAATGGATATTGATCAACAAGGAGGCAGCCCAAAGCAATCACAGGAGTGTCATTGTCTTCGTTTCACCTGTATTTCGGAGGTTTAGGCAGAATAGGGCGCGGAAAGGACGGGTATTCTCTTCCTCCGCGGTTGCAGAAGGAGGGACATTTGCCTTGTAAACGGGCCGTTTATTACCAGACTGTCGGGTCGTGCATGCTTCGGAGGATTGAGGGATAAGCAATCATGATGCTGCTTCCGGAAGGACTCATTACGCGAGGTGCTTGATGTTCAGTCTCTGACTAAATCGGGTATGACTAGATGATGAATGAGAGATAGACTGAACGACAAGCAGCGCAGATGTAGTGTTGATGTTAGGTCTTTGGAGTGTTGTGGTCCCGGGTAATGACCGTGTAAGTCATGATGATGGAAGACCATGGAGATGGCAGAGGTGACTGTACCCTTCAGTGTCCTTCACTCAGCTCTCACCGTAGACGTGTCCCTGGCTGCTTGCAATCCTCTTATTGAGATCGTCGTTGGTGCTCGTCCATGTGGAATACTTATCTGTGCCTGAGACTCAGACCTCAGCTGATCTTCGGATGCCACGGAGTAGGTCCTGTATAGCCTTTTCGAAGCATGAAGAAGAAGTCTGCGTGAAATCCTTGGGCTTAGCCTTTGCCTAATGATGTATGATGTTCCGGAGGAAGTAAAATGACCGCCAAAGTGTAAGCCCGTCCGCGGCGTTCAGACGGAGTGCAGCATTGTTGGTATCAAGCAAGTCAAATCCTTCACTAGATGATAAGAAAGCACAAGGATTTAGATAGCTATCGCACTTCAATCAAAGAAGCTTTTCTTGGAGTGTTAACCTTCTGTATTGGCTCATAAGCGGTCTCTCACATTCATTCACTTACCCATCGATAACGTGTGACGAGGCTGGAAGTTGATCTCCAAATACCTGGCTGAGCCTCTCCCGGCTCAAAAGCTGTGACTATTGACGAGGAGCGGCTAGAGTCTGAGCCCTCAAATGAATAAGTAAATCACGCCTCTCTAATGTTAACGTTCCACCGTCTTTGCATCCATACAGCAACTACACACGGGGCTGTACTTGTCACGAGCTGTTATCTCGCGGTAGTCCTTAATCGTGATTACATAGCCCGCTGAGTACTGCCTTATTCGAGAGTACTTTGTGAAAACTCAAGATCGATGTGATGTAATAATCCCGCTGCCAATGTGGGATCTCATAACCTCGAATGCAAAAGCACTACCTCTCAAAGTATTTACGGCATCTGGAAAAATGAGACGTTCTCTCGAAGCATGAGGCTGTCTGGATCCCAAGGAAATATATACTCTAGTGTTGAGCTACCATAGAGATAGGCAAATTGCATCCTGACGATAAAGGCGTGATCCAACAGGATTTAGATGACAATAAAAAAAATACGTGGACATGAAGTCATCGCCGCAGACTCTGACATCGAGTTCTCATATGCATTCATTCGAATATAAATAGAAAGCCCTCGTTACAGCTTGTCCAAGTGGTTGTGTTTAGTCCACCAATCCGATGCTAGAACACAGAGGGAACTCAACCACATCTCCACGAGATCCAAGTTCCGAGCCTTCCATTATGGCAGAACTATTGCAAGTTCACGTCTATTTCTTTCCTATCTATGGTGTTTTACTGACTGACTGTGTCAGTGATGAGGACGCACTGTCGCGTTGCCGATTATGAGGCTGGTGATACCATCAAGCATACAGCAAGCTGGTCAAGTTGAAGGGCAGAATATTGCAAACATGTGCCAGAAACTCTCTCTTGAATTGGTGATCATTACTTGGCTACTCAGATACGAGGCCTGGGTGAATATGGATAAGTTACCTCTTGAGCCTGTCGTGTCATACCAGAGTTGGACTGCTCCTCCTGAGGCAGGTCAAAGGCGATCACAAGAGATGAAGTGTAAAATTTGACCCAGTACAAGCGTGTATTTATGCAATCTGAATACCCAACCATCTATGTTACCCAATCCCGAACAATATGAAAGACTCAAATGCAGTAACTCAAGCAATAACCGTCCCATCTAGATCCATGACTTCTGCAAATTCCTCGTTCTCCTCCTATTTGGTGAAACAAAGCCTTGCTAGTAGTCGAAGAGCTCAAAGAGCTCCTTGCCACGGTGCTGCAAAACCCAAGACCCAAGAACCCCCACCAAAACAAGCAAGACACAGAACAGCAAGGTCTGGTTGTGGCGCCGCTGAGCTCTCTTCAAGTCCTCCGTCCGCAGACGACGGATAGCATCCATTTCATAAAAAAGGCCAGTAACCTCATGATCGAGCTCACGGGTGGCCTTATAGAGGGAAGCCTCGAGTTGGGAAGTGGTACCCTTTGCCGGGGCTAAGGCTGTGTCCAGCTGCCACTGCTGGACGTTGCGCGGGACGAGAATGCCGACGGCGTCCGTGATACCGCGGGAGGCGAAACGGATACGATTTTTTGTGTTGTAGAGGGTCTCCGAAGGGGAGATAGGGGCAGTCTCGTAAGATGAAGAGGTGGGAGAGTAGTCGGACATAGTGACGATGATGATATAGCCACTTGATTGAGTTCGTGGTAAGGGACTATGACTTGATTTGTGTCCCGAAGAGGAAGTTGTGTGAGTTGTCTGTGAGTGTGTGTTGTTTTGCTCGAGTTGGCTGAAGAAGACAAGAGGGTTGAGTGAAGAAGCTGAGTTGAGAATCATAGATTGGTACTTATACTTCTCAGAATCACTTCAATTACAATATCAACTTGATGGCATACCGCGGTCGAATTACGCTTGTCTCAGTGCTGGAAGGAATTCCTTCGTTTGTTTGTTCGTAGTTATTCACCGTTATCTGAAAGCCTGGCTTTGAACGTACAGCTGGGCTCAACAGCAAGAAAGAAAGCATTAGACACTCATTTGAGGTATGATACAGCATGATCGTGACAAGTCATCGCGGGTAGCTGCGTATGTAGCAGCTAGGGTAGCGAACGTGGAAGTTGCCGTAGCTCTATGCCTCTAGCCAGAGAACAAAGAACAGTGGCGCAGAAGAGTTGAAGATTCAATATCAGACGACCTATAGTGACTCAAGTTTCTTCGGTGAATCTACCGGAAGTGACAGCTCAGCCCATCATCATTTACTTCGCAGAGAGCATGTCGTCAAATTTGCGTTACAGCATGGAATTAGCCATAGCTTCAGTTCTTGTAGGCCCTCTGAGGCTAAAAGAGAGACGTAAGCATGTATAGTTGACACTTGCCCCGCTGTACTCCCACTTTATATATATGCTTGCATCGCCTCAAAGGCCTTTCGGCCAGGGACATCGTGAATGACATCAATCCACATAACCTCCTTCACACGCTCCCTCACCTCCTCCCAGCTCTGCCGTCCAGCCAGACTATTTATCGACTGCACGAGCCAATCTTCACTGCTGTCAAATACAATGATAGACCCCACCACAAGAAGCCAAAGCTTGATATTGGCGGTAGCCTCACCCTGCACAGGTGTTGCCTGAATGGCATCGCGGAACTGTCGACTGAACGAATCAGACTTTAGCTTCGTGCCCTGCATTTGCAAGAAGATGGTTGACTCATAAGCAAGTAGTCCAATCCGCAGGGCTTCTTGTATCGGCGCTGGATCCTGCGAAAAGTCAAGCTGTAAAAGTCGATACTGGATCGACAGCATGATCTCCTGGAACGCTTCGGGTTTGAGCTTCTTGGCGCTCGGGGAGTATCTGTTCGCCAGGGCGGAAAAGTCTCGAAGATCTTTGAAAGTGTTTTGTAATCTCCAGTCCCAGATGCAGTAGACGATCATGAAGTTTAGAGATGGTTCTTGGATCTCGAAGGAGCAGGCTACTGTTCCAAAGGCTTCGAGGAGAGGTTCCCATGCTGGTTTGCCGTCGTAGATCTCGGGTTTGCAGCCGTTTTTTATGGACCATCCGAGGTCGACACTGTTATGATGTTAGTAGGAGTGAATACTGGATTTTGGGGCAGAACTCACCGGCAGAGCTTGATCTGTAGTTGCCGATTATGTGTATACCCTTGTAAACCACCCCTCATCTTTACAATCCGCCGAAGACCATTCGAGTGAGCTTCAAAAGCCTGTGCATCCTCCATTGCGTCAGCCATCATAGCCAACGATATGATGGTCGCTGTAGTTGCATCCTCGACTTGTTTGGCAGGATCCATCAGCCTTTCCTGTAACAGTTTGATGGTGTGCCGAAGGCGATTCCGCGTGGCGGCTGAGAACTCTCCGCCCCATCCAGTATCATACTTTCCACGTCCCAGTAATGACTGCATGTTGATAAGGTCTTGAAAGGCGCTGACCATGAAACAGATACAGTGCAGGTAGGCCGGATCTTCTAGCAGCCAGCGAAACCAGCATACCTTCTCGCCGTCAGGATCGAAACACCATTCTGCGGGATACATGGTCTCCTTGATGGTAGTAAGAACTACAACATTAGCTTCATCACGGACCATAGGGCGGGAACCTTACATCTATAAATATAGTACCTCGAATCTTTATCAAGGGGCGTAGCAAAAGTAAACAGATCCAAATCAGGCGGGGGCTTGACTAGTTGCACCATGAGAGAAGGGGACTCAACCCAAGCTCTATCTTGGCGAGCATGTGTATGGCCAACAGTCCACATGGCATCTGTGCAGCGACTGATCGCCAGGGGTGCAGGACGATTTAGCTCCTCTACATCATCGTCATTGGCTCCGATGAGAGCATCGACTCTAACGTCCAGTATTGGATGTCTTGGAGGTGACTTTTTTGTATTCTTGCCGCGCATTACATGGCTGCGGATGAACTTGCGAGATTCAGGCGCTGGTTTGCCCACTGGGCCTGAAGAGACGAACTCGAACTTTTTGGCTGTACTTGGTCAGCACTATCAAACGAAGCACATCATTCGTTTGTAATCCGGGGATATCTCACGACCCTGTTGGCGAGGCTTTCGAGCTCGTGGCTTGGCCCGTAGTGGGAGTGTTTCTGGGACGGGGACTGGTTGTAAGAAGGGCTCTAGCATGATGACTCGGATATAAGGCAGAGGTATCCTCTTTCAACTCGATGACTGTACGACACTACGATCCGGTGAACGAAGTTGGAGTGATGAGTAAAGAGTTGAGTTGAGACGAGATGAGACTGTTAACTCTTTACGGAGAGAAATCGAGCTCCCAGAGAGGACCTGTCAGCATCATCTTACCAAGACACGATTGTTTTCCTATTTCGGTTAGAGCACAGGGCTTAGTGTTGGGCTGGCGATTGAGCTTAAGGCCGATCGTTGGTGACAGGATCTGACATAATAACATAGTCATATTTGCCGCAAAGTTTGCCTCTTCGCTGCCCTTCGTATTTAGTCTACCAATCGCTCTAAATGTTCGTCCGAGATGCATCTGCCCCGCTTCCTTCATCGTACTCAAGCCAAACGATGTCGGGCATTGAGAGCCTGTCCGAACGTCGAATAGGAAGTAGACAAGTTCAACGAGGCCCGCAAATGCAATTCTTCTCTCGATCTTTCCAGAAATAAACTCTTGGCATGCAATCTATTGCTTTCCTAAAGCGGTTTCCAATCTGTCTTTGCCGTAGAGATGTTGTCGTCAACGGTGGCTTGCGATACCACTCGAGACATCATAGAGTTGAGAACTGTTTCCCTTTCTCGGTTTATTCGCGAATATGTGCTTTATCTCCATGATTTTTAATGTAGTTGTAAAAGACATAAAAGAGATAGATGTCCACGTCTTTATAGCATATTAAGAACATCACACACACACAAACATCAGCTCTTACAATAACAAGACTACAATACCAATCAACCATTACCACTCTAATCAGATCCCCCATAATAATTCACATTCGACATCTACGCAATGGCTCCCAAGTCTCTTGAACTCACCCCAGATGACTACCGCTTCTTCCGCTCCCAAACCACCAAGCCCGTCCCCATCCCCAAGCACATCTCCCTTTCCGACAGCACCATCATCATCACCGGTGCAAACACCGGCCTTGGCTATGGTGCCGCAGAGCAATTCCTCGCCATGAACCTCAAGCGTCTCATCATTGCCGTCCGAAGTATCTCCAAAGGTGAAGCCGCTGCAGCAACCCTCCGCGCCAAATATCCCAACGCCGAAATCCTCGTCTGGGATGTCGACATGAACACATACAAGAGCGTTCAAGACTTTGCGAAAAAGTGCGAGACGCTTGACCACATTGATCTTGTCATTCTCAACGCTGGTATACAAATGACAAAGTTCGAACTTAGTCCTGAGGGCCATGAGGTTTCTTTCCAGGTCAACTACCTCTCTACCGTTCTTCTCGCCACGCTGCTTCTTCCTACACTCAAGCAAAAGGCTCCAGCAGGCCAACCAGGACATCTCACAATCGTCAACTCTGGCACCGCTCTGATGGCCGATTTCCCCAATGGCAAAGACGAGAACGTCATGGAATTCTTCGACAAGGAGGCCTTCTTCACGGGTGGCGTGAATCCCCTTCCTACATATTCCAGAACCAAGGCCCTTGCACACTTCTGGATCGTTAAGCTGGCTGAGCGCGTCAAAGCCGAGGATGTGATTGTCAGCCTCGTTGATCCAGGTATGGTCGGCGGAACTAGCTTGCAACGGGGTCAGGGAAACATCGTCATTCAATACATCTTTGCTTTCGTCAACTGGGTCATTGCTCGGAGCATCAAGAACGGAGCTAGTACGTTTGTGCAAGCTGGTGTTGTCATGGGCAAGGAGACTCATGGGTCTTATATCATGGATTGGAGGATTCACCAGTAAGTTAACCTATTCAATTCACATGCCGTCAGTCACTAACGATGGGTAGTTATACCAAGTTCTTGTACACGCAAGAGGGGAAGGCCTTTGCGGACAAGGTCTGGTATGAGACGAACAAGCTACTGTCATTTGTCAACGTCGACGGTATCTTGAACTCGCTTTGAGGGATGGAGTGATGCATCTTTTGAAGGAGTTCTAAGGGTTTTGATCACTTTGTTGGGTATGAGCGGAACTGGGCATATGGGAATATAGACTGACTAATAGACTAATAATTAATATCCTTATGTTGTTTTCACCTTTGCTAAAGACCCAAGATTATTGTCAAACAACATCTCAAATCATGAGTACTGCAAACAATACGATGGAAACACACTCTGCTAGTCTGTTCGGTAAGTATTTAACTCAGCGTATACAGAACACTCCATCCAAATAAGAGTTCTCTGACATCACATATCAATACATTGATACAAGCTTATTATTAGTCTTCTGACTCTTTGTGTAATTGATGGTGTCAAGCGATGCGTACGAGTGGTTGAGTGATGTGAAGTCGGGCAAAGCTACCCACCCTATACCACATGAGTCAGCTCATCAATGCTGATCAGTCGACACACTAAAAGATCTACAACCAGGTCTTGGGTGACTACCGCCAAGAGTACTGTCATGTCAGTCGGTATGGCCATGCCTTGGTGTGCCGTTGTTGTGCAGTATTAGAGTATGTACCATCCCTCCCATGGGCGTACATACATACATACGATGCAGCTCGCACCTCACATTGAATCCTACCCCACAACAATCAATCCCGACAATTGTGAACGAGCAAACAAACAAACAAGCAAGCAAGCAAGCAAGCAAGCAATTGAATTGAAGAGTCGTGCCGAGACCCGTGTTCTTTTGAAGTTGTTGATGATCCGTGTGAAGAGACCAATGAGGAGCAAGGGGCATGTTTCGTTGATGTTACAAGTGGAAAGGAAACTGTAGATTTCGCTTGGGGTGGCTTGATGCCGGGTAATCGGCGTGAGAAGTGGACAATCACTGTGAGAGCTGGCACTGGAACTGGAGAAAGTGAGAGGAGAGGACAGACAGCGCCGAGACGAAACAGGCCGGTAGCCGTGCCGTCAGTTCCGAGGCAGTACGTACGTACCCGAGACGTCTTGAACCACGACGCAACAACAACGCAAGCTTGAGGGATTGTATATAGATGAAGACGGGATATCATCAATTGAATATCTGAATCTCTGAGATAATAGAATACCAGAGATTGATCCTCTTCAGTCATCGTCGACGGAGTGGCCGTGTAGTTTGTTGGTGGTGGTGGTGGCTTGTTCCACTTTGACGATAGCGCCAAGACATGGAGAAGGGAACCAACCAGGAGCCAAGGGGTAGTGACTGATTCCTCCCGCCTCATTCGCAGCCATAGCCAAGTCTGTCTTGTCTTGTCTTGTCTTGTCTTTGGAGATCAAGGAATAGAACAGACAGAGTGGTCAGTCAGTAGAGCCAAGACGAAAATATAGTGAGTATCTATGGTAGAGAGACCAAACCAGAGACATCGCCCTGCCTGAGGTGCTCAGTGCTTGATGAATGAGGTACCTGCCAATATCTCTCAGAGTGATACCCGGCAAGTATCTTCTGCCGTCTTTGCCGTTGGGTTGCTTGCTTTTGGACTACGGCTCCCTAGTTCCGAGCCCGAGCCTTTTTTTGGGGGTTCTTTGCAAGCCCAAGCCCCCCGGCTCGTCTCTCTCCTGACCAATCAGATACCATCTACTCTCTCCCAATTCTCCACCGAAAATCCTGACCTGCCCTGTCTTGCGTCCGTCTCTCCAGGTCCCGCCACAGACCAGCCCGTCCGTCCAACTCCCCTAACGCTCCCCGTGTCTTCTCACTGTAACTAACTCTCTTTCACTTCAGGGCCCTTGCTTCTGGTCCAATTGCTTTGCGAATCTCGTCCATCCCGTCATTTCCATTTCGCTCTCACTCTCCCTCACGCACGCACGCTTGACTTGGCTCTTTGCCGGACTCCGATCTTCTCCTCCTCTTCTTCGTCACCTCTTTCGTATCCTTCACGGGCCTCTCTTCTCCCCATCCTGGGCTCGGCTTCGCTTTTATTTCCCCTGGACTTCCTTTCTCGCGATACCTGCCAGCTGAGAGTTATCTACCGACGGCAGCGCCACGCGTACCTTGTTCCACTCGTCTAGACTCGGCTCGACTCTCGATTCGACCACCCACGCAACGTGCCTACGCTAGAATACCTGCTTTTTACCACTCACTTCAACCCGTGGTAAAACGTATTCAATACCGGCTCCCCCCGTTCTCGTTCATCCGCGAGCCTTGTTCCATCGCGCCATCTCGTCACTCTTTCGTTCTTGTCAACCGCTACAATCGCCTCAATAGCACCACCACGACCACTTCGAGTTCCTGAACACGATTTGAATTCACGCATCAACGTTTGTCGCTTGGCCATCATCATCGCCTTAGTCAATTCTTCCATTCGCGCAATCGACCAAAGACGCATAAAGAGCGACCCCAGGTCGAGGGACTTTGGTACGGCTATTAAGATTGGTGGAATTTAAGATCCATTGCCGAAAGGAGGCCTTTGGCCATGGCCGACAACGAAAAGAGGGTTTCCACAGGAGTGGCTCAAGAGATCCCTCTTGACCCATTGCCTCCGGCTCAGCACCAGCACAATGTCGCCAGCGATTCATCATCCGAGTTTGACGAGGTGAGTCAAGTCACATTGCCTTGCTTTGCTTTGCGCTACTTGCTTGATTTGGGTATGCACCTACTGCGGATCAATTAGACTGACACATAGGACCTCAACAGTCTTTCTCCTACGATCAGGATGACATGCCCGACTTCCAAACAACCGAGCAGGACCTTCACGTCACCGAAGATGACCTGCTCGAGGCTCGCGAACTGGCCTCAAAGTACACACTTGAAGATGTGCGCCACATAATGGCTCGCGTTTATCGCATCCACGAGAAAGATCCCAACTTCCCACTCGTAGTTATCCAGAAGATCAAGGCCTTCCTTGAGAACGATGAACTCTTTACAAATCCCGAGAAGCACGAGAGTCTGGTGCAGGAGATGAAACTCGAGGCTGCTCTCATCACAAATAACAGCCCTTACGCCGAAGTTCGTGCCGTCGTCGAGAACAAGGATGATACTTCCATCCCTTCATCAACCATTCGAAGTTGGACAATTGGTCTCGTCTTTTCAATGCTTCTTGCTTTCACCAACCAGCTTTTCGATATTCGCCAACCTGCCATTCGCATCATGGCCAATGTCGCTCAGCTGCTCTCATACCCAATTGGCAAAGGTTTTGAAAGGTGGCTTCCTGACTACGGCATCACCCTCTTCGGTGTGCGCCATTCTCTCAACCCAGGTCCCTTTTCCAAGAAGGAGCATATGCTCATCACCATCATGGCCAACGTCGCGTATAACACTCCCTATACCAACCTGATCATCTGGGTCCAGTATCTGCCCCAGTACTTCAACCAGCCATATGCCTCCCACTTCGCCTACCAGATCTTGATCGCGCTGAGCACCAACTTTATCGGCTATGGAATGGCTGGTGTCTGTCGTCGCTTCCTCGTTTATCCATCTTACTGCGTTTGGCCTGCGTCTTTGGTTACTATTGCGCTCAACTCGGCTTTCCATACCGACAACAACTCCCCGGTGCAGGGTCCCTTTGGCAAGATCTGGCGAGTGTCTCGTATCAAGTTCTTTTATGTCATGTTTGGCGCTATGTTTGTCTGGTTCTGGTTCCCCAACTACATCTGGACCTCGCTCTCCAACTTCAGCTGGATGTCTTGGATTGATCCCTATAACCGTGACCTCAACACCATCACCGGTTTCAACAATGGTCTTGGCATCAACCCATTTCCAACCTGGGATTGGAACGTTCTCCTCTGGGACTCTGCTGACCCGCTTATGGTTCCTTTCTTCAGCACTTTCAACCGATTTGTTGGCGCCTTCATCTCCATGTGGGTGGTTCTCGGCCTCTGGTACTCCAACATTTACAACACTGGATATCTTCCCATCAACACCAACCGTGTCTACGACCGATGGGGCGAGCTGTACAACGTCACTCGAGCTATCAACGACCGAGGACTCTTCGATGCCGATAAATACGCCAACTACTCTCCTCCTTTCTTGGGCGCTGGAAACGTTACCATCTACATCTTCTTCTTCGGTATCTACACTTCGACCCTTACCTATGCTCTTCTGTTCCATCGACGCGAAATTGTTACTGGCTTCAAGGGTCTTTTCAACAGCTTCAGGAGGAAGTCAAAGCGAGCCGAGGAGGTTCACGATCTCGACGTTCACACTCGTCTCATGAAGGCCTACCGTGAAGTCCCTGAGTGGTGGTACATGGTTTGCCTTGTTTGCGCTATTGCATTTGGTATTTCTGGTATTGCTGGCTGGGACACCCACACTTCGCCTGGTGTCATTTTCTACGGTCTTGCACTTTGTCTTGTCTTTGTCATCCCCGTCGGTATCATCAAGGCCATGACTGGTATCGAGGTCACTCTGACAGTTCTCGCCGAGTTTATTGGAGGTTCTTTCGTTGAAGGCAATGCCCTGGCCATGAACTACTTCAAGTCTTTCGGCTACGTCACCTGCGCCCACGCTGTCATGTTCTCCAACGATCTCAAGCTCGCTCACTACGTCAAGATCCCTCCTCGACACACCTTCTTCGCTCAGATCATCGCTACTTTCATCAGCACCTTTGTCTGCGTTGGTGTTCTCAACTTTCAGATGACCCAGATCGAGGGAGTCTGCACCGAGGATGCCCGATGGAAGATGACTTGCCCCAGTGTCAACACCTTCTTCACTGCTTCAGTTCTCTGGGGCACTGTTGGACCCAGCAAGATCTTTGGAAAGAACGGTCTCTACACTGAGGTCTTGATCGGTTTCCCTCTGGGTGTTGTGGTTGTACTGGCTGTTTGGGCTATCAACAAGAGGTTCCCCAATTGGACCTGGACAAGACAGATTCACCCTGTGGCTATCATGTATGGAGGCATCGTTTGGGCACCTTACAACATGTCGTATGTCTGGCCCTCGGTACCCATCGCGTACTTTTCCTGGATTTATCTCAAGTCGCGCTACCTCGGCTTGTGGTCTAAAGTAAGTTCTCCTCTCATCAGAGACTCCCAAACCAATACTAACAGTCGCAGTACAACTTCGTGCTCTCTGCAGCCTGGTCCTGCGGTATCGCCATTGCAGGCATCATCATCTTCTTCTCCCTCCAGCTTGAAGGCACCGAGTTCAACTGGTGGGGCAACACAGTTGGCTACGTGGGATGCGAGGACGACGCCTGTCCCCTCCAACCTCTCGAGGGCACAGATTACTTCGGTCCTCGGGAGGGTGAATTCCACTAGCTGCCTTGACTGGAGGCATCACGATATGATGATTTGGCGCAATGTATATGGGATTTGAGCGTGCGTTTATTTGTATTGGGACATTTTTGAATTACCTGGAAGATTTATATACCCCGGTTGCATTGACATAGAGATTGTTTGTCTGTTGAGACAGATATTGTATAAAAAAACCAAGAGGTTGTAGTCGAGGACAATTTGTTTACAAGTTTTGGTGTTTGGCGTATGGTATAGTGATGCCGGGGACTAGCATGGTGTTAGTTGAATCAGTTCTTCAAAGTCTGCAGTTTGGACTCATTTACTCGTACAGCCATGGTTGTTTACAAGCGAGCTGAAGTTGATTCAATGGGTATCCTTCACTATTGTCTACATATTACCAAAACTAAGAAATAAGACATCATCATCATTATCCATGAGCCTCAACAGGCATAGCACCACATAAGAAATCACAACGAGTGAGTACTCAGTATCATCTCGGTGATCTGTTTCCAAATGGCGATCGCCCTCTCATGGGCAGTTCAAACATACTGCCCCATGTCGACACCCTCCGCCCTGGACTCACTGGGCTGACAGGACTCATCAGACTTCCCTCTTCAACTGTTCTCCACGATGATCCTCCGCTACTTCGCCTATCGCCGATGACAGGGCCACCGTCGAGTTCGTACATTGGCCCACTTGGACTAACGGGTGTATCTGAAGACCCAATCTCGGGAATTACAATCATCGGGATGGGGGAGAGGACTTGAACGGGTACTTCCGGCACCGTCTCTGGGATAACAGGAACAGGCTCATCGTCTGAATGCGCCGTTGAGGGACGCTTGTTCTTGATCCAGCTGCTTTTCAGACTTAGCATGCTATTTCTGTTCTTGAGATTTCGTAGTCCGTTGCGAAGTGCTGTTGTCGTTGAGCGCTCAGGACCGGATTTGGACTTTGGGCGGAGTAAAGACCCAGAGTCTGACTTGGGAGGGAGAAGACGTGTTACGAGCTCGAGTTGGGCGTGCATGCTTGGATGGGCCAAAACGTCTTCTAGTGTGATGCTAACGGGGAGGACGTTGTTGAGCTCGGCTGTGAGGGTGTGTGCGGGAAGAATGCAGCCAGAAATAGTGTAGAATGGTGTCGTGGGGATTTTATCCTTTGGGATGCTTGTGGAAGAGGGTTTTATGACTTTGTCCCAGGCCTTGACGATAGAGACCTGAAGATCCTTGCGTTGAGACGCATCGAGCGATTCAACTGGTGGACCTTGAGGGGGTTGCTTCGCAGGCAAAGGGATCTGCCTTTGTGATCTCGAAATCTCATCTGATGAGTGAATCATGGGCTGATGGATCGTCTCAGGATGCGTGATAGTCTCCCAAGCCGCAACGAGCAAACTCAAGCAATTCTGAACAAAAGCGGTGGTGAGTCGTTCCTCAGAGTACTTGATCTCCAGAACAAGACGATCATTCGCCTCGGTACTCGATCTTACAAAAAGATCTGGAAAGTCCCTCGTCCACGCTTCTACCATCTTGTACGTAAACGTCGCACCGTCGATATTCATCGTCGACGATCCATCGTGCGGCCCAGGAATGTGGTGCTCTACAACGCTGCTGAAGCGTGTGCAGGCGCGCCAGTTTGTGCATTTGTTGACGAGTTCTTGAAACCCGAATGTTTCAAAGCGAGAGTGGGATTGGCGCTGGAGTTGGATGCAGTTCATGAGATCGAGGGGTGTGCTGTGACTAGACGGGAATTGAACTCGTACTGGGAGGATGTTTGTCATGGGACCGACGATATCAGGGGCTGCAGTGTGTATTACTTCGCCGAAGAGAACATCGTGGGAGGATGAGAGTGTAGAGAGGACGATGGCCCATGATGCTTTGAGCGCTGCGTCGGGAGTCATGCCGTAGGAGGATAGATGGCCTAGAGACGTTGTATGTTTTACCGTTCGAATCTCAGATAAAGACGCTGGAGCGACGGGGCGTGTGTGAGCGATGATCTTTGTCATCTTTGCATTCTCAAGTTGAACATTCCAGTATTCTAGACCTTGAGCACGCGTTACTTGTGAAGCGCGTGTGTAGTCAAGATATGAAGATCTCGGTACATCAGTCGTATCGTCTCCTTCATAGAGAGAAGTAAGTTCGTGAACGAGTAAGTGGGCTGCTATATCGTCGATCTGAGATGTACTCAGACGAATAACCAAGCATCCTTGCTGTTCTGCATTTAAGAATGCAAAGTTGGTGACAGGGGTTGTTGGGTCAAAAGGCAAAGATTGATGCTCCTTGATGAGATTCTGCGTGACTTCTTCAAGAGAGCCTGTACTGCAAGAAATCGTTGAGAACGGGGGCTTGAAAGAAGCGCAGTGGACTTGATAAACAGTGTGCAAGTGAGTGATGAACGCTACGTTGAGAATAGCGTGCATGTCGCTCAGGCCTTTGCACGCAGTTTCTAGACGCGCTGTATCGATGGGGCCGTTGAAACGAAGGGCAAGACAGATTATATCAGCTCTGTTTGGAAACATTCCCAGTTCAAGAGCACGAACTTGCTGGGAGGATGCTTCAGCAAAGTCGAGGACATCAGGTGAAGAAACTCCAAGCTGCGGCGCGATGACTTCCCTGACGAATTTGGTATCAATCTTCCTCGCGACTTGTTTTCGAGCCGAGGGTCTCTTTGTTGAAGACTCAGCAGAGCGACATATCTCGGTCAGTGTACGTTCGCCCAAGAGATCAGATAGTGAAATGTAAACACCGCTTTTGCGAGCTGTGATGACGAGATGAGCAGCGAGGTACTTGTTCCCGCCGACTGATGAGAAGGTACTTGAGCCTTTGACAGCAGAAACAGAGATACCAAGGGTGTTTGCCCACATCTCCCGCATTGCTTCTTCAGGGCCTGTGAGGGGAAGGGGTTTCTGCGAGAGAGTTACACGTTGGATTTCGCCTGGGTTAGGAACGTGCGACATTAGGAGAACATCATGTGTTGAGAGATTAGCGACGCTGCGCTGGAGTTTTCGTCGGTTGACTTTCAGAGACGTTGACATTGGAAACGCTCTGACAGGAATAAACACTGCAGGGATAGAGTGCCGTGGAAGACGGGGTGTGTTGGACGTTGGGTTCTCGAGGGATGCTTCAAACGTCTTCTTGGCAATGTACATCCGCTCCCGAGTCTCGGGGGTGAGGGTGTGAAGATTCTCATTCGGCTGCATAGCGTGACCAAGTTGAAGAAACGCAGCTAGTAAAGGGCCTGTGTCGCGCATGGTGATTGAGTCAACGACCACATCAATGCCCTGGCCTAGACAACGACGCATGAGTTGTTCAACTTGCGCGACGTCGACCATCAGGCCGCCGACTCTAACTTCATCGCGAACGCTGGAAATGAACTGGATGTTTCCATCGTCGAGATAGCGTACACGATGTCCTGTCTTGAGATACCGAGGCCTCTGTCGATCACCGTCTAAATCTGGTGCAACGAGAGGCCTGTCCAATGCAAAGCGATGAGGCGTGACGAGAGGACTGTCGATGGCCAATTCACCAATCGCACCGACAGGCATGAGTTTCTTGTGATTATCAGGATTAAGAACCCAAAATCGACCGGTGACCGGTGGTGTAATGACGTCCAAACTGTTGTCCCTTTCAACTTCGGTTACTGAAATACCGAGGGGACAAATATCCGGTGCGCCGTACGCAAGAAGAATATCATGATCTTCCAGCCACGGCATGTACGTATCAGGATCAAGTTTTCTCGTCCGAAAGCACAGCGTTCGTAGGCTCGGCACCGAATCTGGATGGATGCTCCTCGCGATCAGACTCGTCATGTACGACCACGTAACATCCATTCGAGCCATGGCACTAGCGATGTCGTTACTTCGTTCTTGCGGTGAAGGAATACAGACACAACCACCGTGAACCAACGTTCCAAGAATTTCCACCAGGGAGATGTCGACGTTGAAGGCTGAGAGCTGAAGAACACGACTTTCGCTGTTGAGCTTTAGCGCTGGCCCTTGGGCGAAGAAGGCTGAGAGCAACGACGAATGCGTGAAGAAAATACTCCGCGATTTCTTGGGCGTGACAAACACACACGCTGCATGGTCAGGACTTGCCTCTTGTCCCATCGTCGAAAGATACGGCGTAAGCATTGCAAAGAAGGTATCGTTAACAATGACAAGATTGATCGCCAACGAGCTCAAGTCCTTCCACGCAGTCTCAGTCGCCAGAACGATGTGTGGATTGAGGTAATCAATAGTCGACTTGACCGTACTAGCATCCTGTGAATCCAACGCCGCGAAACTAGCACCGGCCGAAAGAACAGCGAGGATGATGACAGGTGCCCAATGATTCTTCTCTAGAACGACGGGAACTATCGTTCCAGGCCCGACACCGAGATTGACGAGATATGTTTTCAGTCGTGAGACGAGCGTTGAGAGTTGCGCGTATGTTATGTCGCCGTCCCAGGAACAAACAGCTTCTGCGTCTGGACGAAGAAGACTATGCTGAAGAATAATATCATGAAGACAGGATGAGATCTTTTGAGATTGGGTGGTCCAGTCTTGAACGACGAGTTGGGCGTAGTCCCTATCTGTAAGAAGATCTGTCTCCACGATGAGTTTCTGGGGTGTCGTGAGGATTTGAGTGAGCGCGGAGTGAAAACTATTCATAACACTCTGAATGTGAGAAGTTGAAAGATGTCGAGATGCAAAGTTGACGTGTAACCGATCGTTGATAAACATAAGCGTAAGCGACACATCACAATCCGTCTTGCGCCCAGACGTCAAAAGCGATGTAATCAACTCATCGCCAGCAACAAGGTTATTCTCCTCATGAAAGTAAAGACAAGTGTTAAACAACCTCTTATCCTTGAGCCCCAACGCATGCTGGACCTCAGACATGGTGAGATTATCATGCTTCCTCGCATTAGCATACCCTTCACCCACAACAGCAAGACACTGTCCCAGCGAAGCAGGAGGCGGCATCTCGACATAGCACGGCAAAATGGTCGCAAAACTACCGACCATTTCTTCAATCCCACAGAGGAGCTGCTCATCACGTGCGGAGAACTGATACCCAAAGGTAACAGCGTCCATGCCTACAAAGGCACGAAGGACGAGAGCCCAGGCAAGTTGGAAGACAGCTTGGGCGTGGACTTGGTTCTGTTGGCAGAACATGCGCATCTGCATGGTCGGGATGTCGAGATCAAAGGGGGTGGTGTGCAAGATATCCTTTGTGTTTGCTGAGAGCGGTGGGAAGATGCATGGTCTTGCGTAGGAGAGGCTCGTTTTCCATACTTCGAGACTGTAGGCTGTGTCGATGGAGGCTATTTGGTGGAGATATGTGTTGTGAAGCGATGAGTTGTCCTGTGGATCTTGACCCGAGTATACACGGCTCAGTTCTGTTATCAAGAGATGAAGACTCGGTAACTATCACGGTTAACACCTTACTTGACAGTATGTGAATGGGGACTTACATCGCAGAGTGCCTGGCTAGCATCGAGCCTCACAACCATCCCCTCAGGGTTATAACACACCGAGAGTCTATGTCTCGGCTCTCCAAACCCCATATTCAACCCTGGCAACGTCCCAATCGCTTCTCTCGGGTCCATCGTCTCAATGAATAAAATATTCGGTGAAATCTTTTTCAGCACAACTTGATCAAACAAGCCCTCTCTCGAAATAGCATCGATAAAGATACTCCGCAGAGCAGGTGTGTTAGCAACGATGACCTCCCAAGCCTCACATAACCTCGTGACATCGATAATGTGACTCAAGCCTGTGAGTTCATAAGAGACGTGGACGTAAAAAGATTCGCTGATTTGCGATTGTGCGATGAGGAGTTCTTGCTGGGCTGGTGTGATGGGCTGTATCGTCTCAATGTCTTTGATGTTGATCCTTCGATCTGATGTGAGTCGCTCAAGAGCTTGGTACGACGATTGGATTAAAGGAATGTCGGAGAGTGTGAGTTGTGGTTCGTGGGATTCGAGTTTTGTGATGGCTTCGAGGAGTTGATACTCAAAGACTTGAATCCACGTCTGGATCTTATCCTGGAATTTGCAGGTTTTGTTGTACACCACGTCGATCTGACCTCCAGAGTTATCCATCATCGCTGAGACTTCAAACAAAGCGATTCTTCCGACGTCGGATCCGGTGGTGGATTTAAAATGAGATTGGCCAGGTATAGCGATAGGTTCTAACAATCCATTCTTTCGTTGAAGTTGTTTCGCGGTGTCGATTGTGTTGAAGATGATTTCGAGGGGGATGTTCATCGCAGCGCCTTGCGATGATGAAAACTCAGAATTGAAGAACGGCACCCCTGATCTTGGAATACTCCTCCTCGTATCCTTGATCAAAGTAATAACCCCGATCAAATCCGTATCTGGATTAACAGACACGCCCATGGGACACAGTGAAGCGAACCATCCAACCGTTTCCAAGATGTTGAAATCCCCCTCTGAAGCATCCCGTCCATTTTCCTGCTTCCACAACGTCGGTAGCACTCTATCAGGAAAGACCTGGCAGAACGAGAGGAGTAATGCAGCGAGTATCACATCTGCCGAATCCGTTCTCAACACCTGCGCTGACGATTGCTCTAGAGAATACGCCTGCTCCGCGGTGATTTGAAACGACACGCGGTCTGAGATTCCGTATGTATTCTCTTGGTGATCCAGATCCCAATACTCCAGATCCGCAGAGAAGACATCAAAAGGAAGTGTCTGCTCAAATAACCTCTGCTCCATCTCATGGCCCTGATGTTCGATCCACCGCTCAAACGACACACTGCCTTCCGACAAAAGCGTGCCTTTTTGGAGCAACTCTTCCAGATCGCTGAGAATGATCCTCCAGGAAAGTGAATCGAGGATGAGTTGGTGCGCCACGAGGTATAGCATCTGCTTGTCCTGGTTGTGAATGTACATTGCCGCAAAAACGGGACCATCGAATGGATCAATCGCTTCTTCAGTTTCGTTGATGAGTGTGAGCATCTCGTCCTCCCCGACATCAACGTGATGCGAAAGAGTGTAAGAATTCGTGCCGTTGGGAGTAACACACTGCATCCACTCATCGCCCTTGACGAATCGTGCTCTGAGCATGTCATGCCGAGCGACGATGGCTTCAATCGCAGCGTCCACATCAACGGGCTCCGCACCGCCTTTCACCCTAACCATCAAACCCTTCGTCCACCGACTCTCATCCCCAACAGCAGCCAGATAAACCCGCTGCATCGCACTCATCGGAAACACCTCCAGATCCTCACTCCCCACCCTGCTACTCACCTCCCTCGTCACCACCCGCCGTCGCGTAGGAATCTGAAGCTTCATGACTTCCTTGTAGGTAATCTCGTCCATGTTCTGCACCCATGTTTGCGCGCCACGTCTGTCGCCCAAGTCAAAGTCAAAGTCGGCGGGAATCCATATCTGGGGCTGCTGCACGGCCATGCGAAGTGAAGAAATCTCGTCCCTGACAAAGTCGATAGGTAGAGGTTTAGAGGTCGTAGAGCCGATCTTAATAAGAGCAACGAGTTGGCCGTCGAATGGGCCTGCTCTGGGCCAGACCATGCACACGCTGCTGACGCTGGGAAATGACTCCAGTAAGCTCTCCAAATTAGGGTCCACTGCTGCTGAGCTTCCCCCTGCAGCCCTACCACTAACGTTAACGTTAACCCCCCCAACACTTCCGCTGGACGACGAGGAATAAGAGTCTACCGAGTCAGACCTGGCGTTGGATTTCGGGGTGCATCTTGTCTGAAGCTCGGCTAGTGTTTGACACGCCATTATGTCGTCGCTTTTGATATCAAAACCTTTGCTTTGACATGTTTGACGGACGAGTTCTGCTGCTTCTTCATCGCCGCCTAGTTCGGTGAATGAATCAAAGAGAAGAATGTCTTCGCGCGATATTGACAGTGTTGAGGCTATCGCTTCTATGAGTTGGTCTGGTGAGTCGTGGGACAAGTCGGTCATGAGCCTTGGTAGGCTTGGTCTTTGGGGAGACATTGTATTGAACTGATGATGTTATCAAAAGATCCGAGTCACTAATTGAAGATGCGATCCTCGAGTTATTCTACCATTTTCTCTTCTCTTGTTTTATGCGTAGTCTTCTATGACATGCCCTCCATCCTCAAACCATCCCAAATCCTGAATCCTGTCTCCAACTCATAGCCCCCAAAATATCCTTTGTACAAGCTACTCCAGACCCAACGAGTCCAAGCACAAGGCTCAAGTACCCGTGACTCTAGGCCGCAGCGAATTGAGACCGTGATCAATACTCCATAACCACGCCATGACGTGCCGCAATGCGCGTCTGCTCCTATTTACTTGGCTCTGACAACCACCGAGATTGAGAGCCCGCATAAAGTGGTAAAGTCAGAGAACTGAATTAAGTTGTTTCAAGCTGACAGAATTAAAATACTGATGTTCTTTGATCTTCACGACGATGTTACTCTTCATCAATTAACACGACTGATACCCTCGGACCTCAACTCCAAACTCACTCTGTTAGAGTTCGTCATAGCACATTCGTATTGAAGGATTAACCCCCAACTCTATTATCGCAACTGTTCCTGTTCCCCTTTTACTCTCTATCATCCTTTGGCCCCCCTCGCAGCTGCAAGTCTCAAGTTACATTCAGACCTGATACCCCCAAGTTAACCGACACCTGGCCTTATACCTATTATTATCAGATCCTTACTCCTTACCTTGGCGAAAAGCGACAAAAAAAGAGAACTTTGGTCCAGATCTGCAGGGCGAACTTACCGAGATTAAACACTCAACATTAAGCTTTTCCCTAAGACATCCTATCCCTTTCATCCCGTCTTCTCTCCCGTTCTGAACTTAAAACAAACTAACAAACCCTCGTCCCATGCGTAAGTTTGAAGAACAAAATAATTGTTGAATACGGAGTATGATTTCCCTTTTAAACAAGGACTTCCCGTGTTTCCGAGACGGGAGTCCTCGGCTACAAGCGAGATAAGGCTATAAGCGAGATGAGCTGGGGCCGTTTTAGTCCTCACGCTCCAAGACACGGACCCCGTCATGTCTAAGCGCCTGAGAGCTGTGATTCAGGGGTTCCAATCCTCCCAATTCCAACGTTTCGTGTATTATTAGTCTTTCTGGGGGCTGATACGAGAGACTACGATAACACTGAGCACTGAGAGATAGATGGTCACATTCCTGAAAACCCAACCCTCTCTCTACAGAGAAACAGCACACTAGATAGAGCATCTCAGCAATCCACAACACCCCAAGCACTGCTTACACCCATCAACGCACACTACGCATTGAAACAACTGCCTTGATGCAATTCTACATACACATAACTCATAGCAATTCCTATATTCATATCGTACACCATTAATCCCCCCATCTCAGGTATCTAAACCACAACCTCATCATCATCAGGATCCTCAATACTCGTTCGTCTCTTGGCCTCCTTAACTTCCACAGCCTTGACTTCATCATCCTTCCCCTCCTCAGCAGCCTGTCTACTCCCCTCCTTTTCCTTCTCCGCCTTTGACAGTCCAAATGGCCATAGTCCACTCAACCCCCTCGTTGAAGCCGAACCCTCCTTTGCAGGATTCACAGGTTGAGGTCTTATAACGTTCTGAGCATCGTCTTCTGGCATAGCAAAATCTCCAAACTCATCGTCATCATCGTCATCACGCTCGTCGTCTGATTCATTCCCATCTGGCTTGCCTCCACGATCCCTCACCACATCTCTCCACCATGCACCCTTCTCATCACCTTGCGTCTGATCATCATCATCAAAGTCTTCTTCTGTATCGGCAAACGGATCTGTAGGGTTTTCGTCATCGTCATCATCGTCGTTACTTAAATTTCCAGATGATTGTGCTTGGTTGTTCTTCTGATGCATCGCCAGTCGAGCCGCCAGTTGGAGTCGCGCCCTAGAGGGGGGGATGTTCAGCGGCGGGGGAGGTGGAGGTGGTGGGGGAATCGATGGAGGCTCCATTGATCCCGAGTTCAAGGGGTCCGTGTAAGCTCGGAACTAGAAATGTCTCGTTAGTACGAGGCGCTCATGGGTGAAATGATCAGTTGACACTAGGAGATGTGATAGATGAGTTGAGATGAGTCGGAGGGAAAGGCGTCCTGAAAACACTGGCATCGAAGCTTGATCCTCCTTTCCATTTCGTTCCTTCGTAGCAGCGTGTACTCCTAACTCTTGTCTCCGTTACCAATCATTATTCTATACAGATCCCAAACTAGGTCAATCCAGACCTTACATGATAATCCCCCGAGCCATCCACCCGCCCCTTCTATCCCACAACGCCTGGTATAAATGTCTCAAAACCTCGGTGTCGTCAGCAGCTTCATGAGCTCTTCAACCTCGACGTCCTCGAAGGTCTCAAGGTCGTCAAGTCGCAGCATCTCAGGGCGTCGCCTGTCTCGCCTCTCTCGTCTGGTACGTGGACGATCGAGTGTTCCCCAGTAAGGTACGTCCTCCTAAGGGCTGCCTTCTGGTTTTGAGACATCCTCAACCTGCTCAGCGTGCTGTTGCTCTTCATCTTGGGATGAGCGCTGATGGTGTGCTACAGTTTCGTCCAAGTCCATAGGAGACCCCCTTGTGACGTCCTCCGGATAATCCAAGTCAGGAAATTGTGATGCAAAAGTCTCAGGAGACCGCATAATCACATCCTCCAGTGTTTCTGCGATGCCAGGGTATCCAGGGATGCCGTGATCCGAACCATCGTCTTCAGCTTCAGCGGAAACACCACTCACCTCGGAATTGACATCCTCCTCGTTTTCGTCCCCATCTTCATCCTCCTCATCGCTACTGCTGCCAAAGCCGGACATTAATGTGGCCCCACTGATAGTGAAAGGACCGATGCCATTTCCGCTGTCCTGGCTGAGCTCTATTCCTCCGTTAAGGCCAGCTTCCGCAAGTGCACTGGAACCACCACCGCCAGAGCCTCCGCTCAAGCCAGAAAGGCCGACGCCGCCAAGCCCACTGCCACCCATTGACCGGTTACCCATAGCTACCTCTGGTCGTACACCACCAAGGATGGCATTGTCTCGCTCGCGTGTCTCGGCGAGTGATCCCTCAACGTAACTTATCCATTCCTGGCTCATGACTCGGTCAAGGACAGTCTCCGAGAGGAGCTCCGGAGGGTGGCGCTCGGTGAACTTGACAACCTCCTCAGCAATGAGGGTAAGGTGACCCATGTATCCCATGCGGGTCTTCGTCTTGGCCTGAGACTCGTCGCTGGCCTTTTGGCCGTTGATGATGGCACTTGTGACATCGGCAGCTTCGAACAGTGAAACGGCCAATGTGGGGTTGTAGCTGCGGTCCATGGGACCGTTGAAAACTTGCTGAACGATATCGTACACAACATTATGCAGGAAGTTGTTCCAGGGGTATGCAAAGAAGAAGTTCTGGCCATGTTAGATAGCAATCAGTAGAGGGCATGGTTGACTTACAAGAATGGTTGGAACAACACGGTGTTCAACGAATTGAAGCTTTAGGAAATCTCCAACAACGGGCTCCTCCGTAGCCTGACCCGTAGCCTGCTCCTCCTTAGGCTTATCCTCCTTGACCTCCTCGGTCTTTGTTTCCGTGGCAGAGGTCTCAGCTGTCGCAGCTTGAGCATCACCAGCTACCTTTTCGGCCGCTTGTGGTGGGCGATCGGCTCCAGATTCCGGTGGAGGAGGAGCAGAGAAAAGAGGTGCAGGCATGTCGTCTGGCTGGGGAGAGATACCTCTAGGCTGTTCCTCAACCTTGATGGAGACATCCGTAGACTCAGCCTTGGACTCTGGCTCGGATGGTGCAGGAGTCAGGATAGCTGAAGAGTCAGAGGTATCCTCCTTTGAAACATCCTCTGCCACCGTCTTGGGCTTGGGCTCTTCGGTCTTTTCGGTTTTCTCGCTGCTAGACTCCTTAGCTTCGGGCTTCTCAGTTGAATCAGCCTTAGCAGGCTCTGTAGATGCGTGTTCAGCGGTCTTAATCTTTGTGGGCGATAAGGGCGCAACCATCAAATCCGGCTCATCGAATCGTGTCTCATCATCCTTGGCACCCGTCTGAGGAGGGCTGAGCGGCTCATCTACAAAGTCATCCTCATCCTTGCTGAGAGATGTTGTAGAAGCACCAGGAATGTCGTCTTCAGCCTTGACAAACTCATGAGAAGTATCCTCACTCATCTCCTTGCTGGGCTCAACCTCCTCGAAACCATCGTCGTCAGCGTTAGTGACCTCGAGACGTCTCTTCTCTTCAGGTGCAGCGCTTCGCATGGTCAAGTCGTCAGTGGAGTGATCCTCCTCCTTGACCGGCGCCAACTTGCCCTCAGTACGAAGACGTTGTCGCTCGATATCACGCTGAGCTGTCAGCTCCTCGGAACCCGGCTCATTCAACAAGCCCATGTTACTGCAGTGCAACAACTCGGCCATGAGCTCGCATGTCTTAAATCGATCAAAGCCAAGGGGCTCGAGCTTGACGCCAAAGGTCGAGTCAATCTTCTCCTTCTTGGAGGGAACATCCATAATCAGATTCATGAACTTGGGGACATTCTCGGCGAACATGCGAAGAAGGGTGCCCAGGTAGATGGGATCGCGGCTGGAAGGCGCAGCGCTTGCCTCTGTGCCCATATCGGGATCATAATCGGAGTTGTTCTTTCGAATTACTTCAATAATGATACCAACACCAACAGTCAGAGGGTTGCCGCCGCCAAGCATGTAACCAATAAGCTGCTCGATGCATGGCTTGGAAACAAGCTGACGGGTGAGCTCGTTAGGGCCGATGCACTGTTGCTCATTCTGCGAGGCATTGGCAGAGATGGTGATGATGGCCTTGATGAAGTCACCTGCGGCGGTTTGCACAACCCAGTTGTTCTCGGGGCTGAGGCATGAGAGGAGGCTCGGGATGATGTCCTTGGAGTACAACCACTGAAGCCATGATGTTAGCACAGATGCATTAGATTAGTCGGGAGATTTCGCACCTCGACCACACCCTGGCCACCCTCGTTACGATCGAGGGCGATGATTTTGAGCAGTAGGTCCATGACCATAGGACACTCTACATGCTTGAGTAAATTAGGGACAGCATCGGGAAGAGTCGTCAATAATTCCATCATATCCTCGGTCTTCTTCTCAAACAGAGACTCATTGACTTTTGTGAAGTAGCTCGCCTGGAGGGGATCGAGCGGGGCAGGGCGGGACAAGAAGTTCCAAAAATCGCGAATCAATTGTCTGTTCTCAGCCAAAGCCTCGTAGATGGACCAAGTATCGGAGCTAAGAATCTCGCAAGCTACGAAAGCGTAGCGATTGCGCTTCTTCTCCTGCTCCTCTTCATCGTCGCCCGGGTCGGTCGCGCGGGATGATGCGCGCGGTCGCGAGAGAGAGAGAAAGCGGTTCTTAGCCTTGGCCTCTTGGTCGGTGGACTCGTCGGGAGACTCGACGGTCTCGAGCTTTGGAGCGACTACATATTCGAGCAGATTATCGAGAACCTTGTCGCTTCGGAGGTATTCGATGAGCTTTGAGTTGTGCTGCTTGAGCTCCTGGATCAAGTCTGTCTCTTCGAGTAGCTCCTCGAGGGTAAAGTCTGGCTTATCGAGGATTGTGTCGATGGTGGAGATGTTGGCGTAACCGCCGAATCTCCAAAACATGGTGAAGGGTCGATGTTCGCTATCGCTGTCGCTGTCGCGGGACCAGCGTTTGGCGGAGGGGAAAGGTTGAAGATTGGATTGTGGAGGAGTCGAAATGGATCATGTAATCAGGTTTAATCGAATCGAGTTGAGTCAGGCAGACGTAGGCGGGTCAGGTCGGTGGGCGGAGAGTGAGTTTCAGCAGTCGTTGCGCACTCACTTGCCTCACCTCAGCAGGTAAACTTTGTAGCGGTACAGCTGAATAACAGGTAAGGAGTAGAATATGGTAGTCAGGAGTCAGACTGTAACATTCCCAGAATGCCTAATCAATCAATAATCTGCCTTGGTTGTGGTAGGTAGAGAACCTGGAAGCAAAGCAATAGCAAGATGACGACTGTCGCGTCGCATCAACTCGTTGCCAAGAATATGGTAAAACACAGGCAAATGGTGGCCTGGAAAATAGAAAAATAAAAAAAAGCAAAAGCCTCTGAGGTAGCCTCCGAAGAATATTTCAAACAGACAGTTCGTGTGTCAGTTGCAGTGATGTCAGGCTCTCACGATAGAGGAGCTGGGAGTGGTTGATTGAGGAAGCACGGGCACGGGCACAATCACAAGCGGGCAAACAGTAGGTGGCCAACCGCTGAGCACAGAAGGGCCTCCAGTGGTTTAGCGAGCGGCAGCGGCAGCGGCAAGGAGCGCCAACGATAATCAGCACAGCACAGCACACCACGAGCCAGGCCAGGACTAGAGGCTAAGCTGAAAATTCATACCGAGATAAGACTAGGTTCCCACGCACGCGACACTCAGCACATGGGAATTAATTCCATACATAATGTTTGTGGCGGCTGCAGCGGTTGAATTGATGAAGCTGATGGTGGGTGACATCTGGGCTTGCAGAAGCTTTTTTTTTTCTCACGATCGCATTGATGTACGATACTCTATCTGAGCCAGTAATTACTTATCCGATTATATTATTGTCTTGTGTTTATTGTTTGTTATTTCTGCCAATGCCATGTCCATACGATGTATGCATGCGTCTGGCTTATGTGGAGAAGCAGGCCTCGAATCAAAACAGGAAAAGGGGGCAACGCCGCGAACAGAAGCAGAAGGATCTGAATGTAATTTACGCTGCATGACGACAGCAGCTAATCTCACAGTTCAACGCATTCAGTGGGTTGTACAACGTGGTCAGACTGTTACACAGGTTCATCAACCATTTTCTCTCCTGGACAGTGGGTGACATTACTGGCGAGCTATAAGATCCCCCCCCGGAGCCGGCTATCTCATCACGGACCTCCTCTTTTCCTCTTTCATCATCCCAACCCTGCCCTGCCACGTTTTATGTGCTCGCACCATTGACATCGATACCTTCACTTGATTCTTCGTGGCTTGATAATCCAGCCAATTAATAGGCTCGGAATCGAGGCACAGCTTAAACACTAACGTCAAGTAAAGCATGAAACAGTGAATCACATGGCTTTTTAGTTTTCTGGTGATAGTTACCATCGGCTGTTTGCTTACCCTGTATCTCTCCCTGAAAATTGTATCATGAGGACGATGAATGAATGATACAGTGACGCATCGCATAAATATTGTTAGAAAAGCATGTCTAAAGCATAGAGTTTTTAAACGAATGTATCTAAGAGATGAACGAGTGTCCCATAATACCCCAATCGTTTATGTCTATCGCCATCTCAAACACCAAACACACATCCCTGATCTAGCTCGGAGGAACTCCATTGTAGGCCAACAAATTTGGACTTCCACTACCAACATTCTGGACAACACCACTCGTCGCCAACTCCTTCAATCTTCTCGCCACGCTCTCAGGTGTCGTCAAGCCTTCCTTGGCTCTCAAATATAGCGACAGGCCAGCAACATGAGGACATGCCATACTGGTACCGCTGATGGTATTGGTAGCACTGTTGGCCGTATTCCAAGCACTCTTAATGTTCACGCCCGGCGCGAACAAATCAACGAGCTCGCCGTAATTGGAGAAGCTGGCTCGGTTATTGTTAATGTCAATTGCTCCCACAGTCGTGGCGTTGGGGGCCGAGGCTGGCGAGTAGTTGTATGCGTCGGCGCCGTCGTTTCCTGCTGCGACCACGGTATGGATTCCGGCGCTGTAGGCAGCTTGGACGGCGGCGTTGAAGGCGTCTGAGCGACCGCCGCCGAGGGACATGGATATGACAGCCTGTTCCTTGCGGCCTGGAGTATTGGTGATGTTGGTCACGGCCCAGTTGTACCCCGCAAGCACGATATCACTCCGAGACTGTAGCTGTCAGCAGGACTAAGATATGGGAGTGAAAAACTTACACTGCCTGAGTGGAACACCTTGACTGCAATCAAGTTCGCTCTCTTGGCCACGCCGTACTCTTTACCAGCAATAGTACCAGCACAATGTGTCCCGTGACCGTTAGCATCGACAAAGTCAACACCAGGATAAGCATTATAACCCAATTCCGCCCGGCCCTGGAACTCGTCATGTGCGATATTGATACCAGTATCAACAACATACGCATACGTTCCAGCTCCAGCTGATGAATCATAAATGTAATCGTTGAAATGAGGAGTGCGATGCGAGATAGAGCCAAGACCCCAGGTCGATTTCTGCTGAGTGACAGTCTCGTAAAGATTGATCTTGCGAACAGGCTCAACAGCAAGGACCTAGAACATCAGTATCAAGAATCAGAAGCAGAAAGGGGGGACTTACATCTTTGCTCTTCTCAATCGCCTTGATAGTCTGCTTATCAAAGTCTCCAGAGTACCCTTTATAGGTTGTCTCGTTCCAGACCAGTTTGACGCCATCGTCAGCACGACGGAAAACACTTCCGTTATGGATACCGTCAACCCAATCGATGTGCTGTTCGACTTGTTTCTCGTCAAGTTTCTGTTTCAAAGTGACGATGTATGCGCCTTCGATAATATCATCATCGTCAGTGACGGTTGGAGCAGCGATGATCGCAGGCAGAAGAGCGAGGAGGAGCTTCAGATAATGCATCTTGAACGAAAGAGTGCGATGAGGATGATGATTACAGAAAGAGTGAGAAAGGCTTCCTCTTATAGGATTTTTGATATCACATTGCTCTTCTGTCTTCGGAGTTGGCGACCTGAATTTCTGAGTCTCCAGGACCCTGTGCATCATTCTGCAACTCAATGTCTTTGATTCAACTTGCACATTAATCTCTATCAACCGACAGGAAGATCAATATCTTATAACGGACATTTTCATGAAGATCTGTCTAAATCTGAAACTTCATCTTCTAAATGTCACACCGAAATATTGTATTGCTGATAGAGAAAGCGTCTTGTGATGAAGACCTTCGGGAACGAGTGGCAATTGAGACAGCCACGCTTATGGACTCGTACATAATTCTCCCTGTGTTGTAGATCATCGCGTTGGAGATGGAAAAGGTATAGTTGTTAGCCTTTTTTGTATCAGTTCAGAATATGAACGAGTGGGATGGGCATTGAAGTCACTACGTCCCTGTTCGTAGGGTCACTTTACGGAGGGATCTGATACATACCGGCCACTCCCGAGCTCCATTGGAAACTTGATCAAGTCTCTAACCAGTAAGTGCTCCTTGAGGGGTATCAGACAATCAACAAAAGACCCTCACATCACGCACGGAACAACCGAAGCTGAGGAAAATCAGGGTTGAGACACAACCGACAACGTGACCCATCTATCCAGATGGCCATATGATTCATTTCTATAAACCCCTATTCAAATCTATATTCCCACGCTACATTATCGCCGCTCAGCCGAGACACTCCATCTGCGTATCTCCGTACGACTTATCACGCCCCTGCCACCGCCCTCGCCATGACCTTCAAACCCGTATCAAACTCCGCCTTCACGCCCTTGACCTTCATAACATCTTTCGGCAACAACCCCCTCCACCAAGCATACCAATCCGCCACCTCGCCCAAGTCAACCTCGTCAAGCGACAGCCACTCCGTCAGCGTCTTGTGCCACTTGGGGAACAAGTGCTGTATCAGCACCTCGGCAATAACACTTCGGCCGAGCGTGGGCGTCCATTTCAGAATACCCCTGAGCACAGGAAGACTCGGTTCCTGATCTGCTGGCTCGACTACAAAGTTTCGCTGGAGATATTTGCCCATTGACGGGAGGACGTGGGACATCACGAGTGGTCGCCATTGATCGCCAAGGATGCGTTCCCATTTTGTAAGACCGGGTAAGCGACCCTCCTTGAAATCCCATACGTCGATGAGTTGTCTGAACTTTCTCTTGACGTCTGCTACAAGACCTGTTCCCTTGGGGTCGAGATGATATGAGGGAAGGTATTGAAGCCATGGGAATAGCCATATGTGCGGTAGACTGTGATGCTGACGCCTGTTTTTGGGATTCCAGTCTGACACTGCCGTTTCCAATTTCCGAGCGATGTTGTCGATGAATTGCGCACGGACAAACGATGGCAGGAGGTCATCCCAGGCCTCCATGACACTGAGCATTTTCTCTGGCTCAAAGACATCCCATGACCGGACAGCCGTTAGGGCTTTGGGTAGCCAATTCTTGTACATCATGCTTTCGTACGGCGTTGTGGATTTGTGATGGCGGCGGTAGATGTCGTCTGTATTGACTGCTGCCGAGGAATCCCATTTGCCGACAGATTTGCCATTTGTCGTCGATGGCATGAGGAGTGAGTTTAGTTCTTTGAGATCTGAAGCGAAGCGTGTTGGTTCTTGCAGGATATCCCAGTCTCCTTCTCGTAAGAAAGGATGGATAGCTGCAACAGCAATATCGGCAATCTCTGACGTAGTAGCCTTGAGTTCAAGAGCCTTCTTCAAGCACCCGATAACTTGATCCCAGTCGGCTGTTGCAAGCTCTCGGCTGACCAACTCAGAAAAGACCTGTAATCTTTCGAAATCCGATCGTAAATCATCCATGTCCTGCTCTTTTTCCTTGAGCTCGAGGTCTATCCACGTTTTTCTCTCTTGCAAGCTCTTCCATTCATCAGAAAAGGCTAACAAGTCTGCTTGCGCTCTCTTGACAAGCTTCCTCGCCTCTATCACTTCAGTCGACTCTGGCGTGGCAGTTCCTGTTGTCGGTGTCATGATGCCACTCGTAGATGTGAGCATTTTACTTCCTGGCCCTGTCATATCGAGAATGGGGGCAAATGCATCTGGGATATGAAGGCCTGGAGCCGCAGCCTTGAGCTCCTCTGCCGTAAGGTATTTCGGTTTCTGTCGTCTTGGTGTACTTGTCGCGCTGTCAAATGCAGCTCCCAGGGACTTCTTCTTCGCCTTCTTTCGTTTCTTCTTTTCCTCTTCGTCCGAATCTATAACCTCCTCTCCTCGTAATTTTGCTTGTCGCTTCTCTTCCTTTCGTTCTTGTTCGGACTTCTCTTTCACAGCGCCTAGACCAATACCCTGCGGTCGGAGGTTCGCTTCAATAATGACATTTCGGCCCTGGCCTTCCTTACCAAGACCTTGTCCCTCCTGGTAGCCCATCTTTGCCATCATCCGGGCACCGAAAGACTTGGGGTTTGTCTTGCCCTTTGCGCCAAAGGCACTCGGTTGTGGCTTGTTACGTGGTGTCGGAGAGCCCTCGTCGCGCGGGTTCTTGAGGACAGGATCGTTTGCTGATGATGGGACAAAGCCCATACCGAGAGGGTTCTTGCCATCGAATCGGGTTCGAAATGATGGTCGAGCTGTTGCTTCGGCGCTTGCGCTTCGACTTGAGGTTTGGGTATCGTTCTGTGCAAAACCGCGTGCAACACCGCCGAAGCCTAGTCCTACTCCGGTGTTGGCCTCCTCCTCCTCTTCGTGGTCGTCCTGGTCCATTGCGCTTCCAAGCATCGGCCGAGTATCTTCGGAATCTTCATCACGATCTTCTTTGTCACTCCCTGCGCCTGTTGACACAAAGTTCATGCCTTTATTTCTCAAGGTGGTCCTCTTCCACTTTCTAGCAGGGCCATCGTCTTCACTATCGGAGCCAAAGATGCCCAGCGCAGCCTTCTCTTTGTTATTACCACCGACACGACGTCTCTTCCGGGGGTTGAAATCACCGAAGTCGTTGTCGGCATCAAGACCTGGCGCGAGATGCTCGTCCTCAGATTCGGATGCTGATGAAGAATATTCGGCCGCGGCGGCTTTGGTGAGGCGCGAGGGGTCGAAGGACGGGCGCGATGAACCGTTCATCTTGCGAGTGCTGCTGATAACTCTCTATATGTTGTTTGTGAGTTTCGTGTGCGAAAGCGCACTTGAAGCATGGGGAAGCAATACTTGCGACGCGACAGGCAGACCTAGAAATAAACTGGAAGCTTGGGCATGACGATGTTGAAGAGTCTTATCTTATCGGCACGTGATGACCCGGAACTCTACTACCTATTTACCTACATCGCTGCTGGGAGACCGGTCTGAGAGGCCCGCATGAGACACTTATCACCACGTGACCGCTTCTTCGCACAACGATAAGGCTAATAATTTTCAAGAAGTTCGACTCTCCCCTCCACCAACTCAACAACATACCAACTTTCGCCCACTTCATCCGGATAGGTAGGTGATAGATTTCCCCAGGACCCCCGCAATCATGGACTCATTCGGGTGATGGCTTTGCCATCCGTTGCAGGTACCTTCAGACTACGATTCCATCGTCTCTGAAGAACCTACCACACACCGATATCGATCGACAGCAAGCATTAAACAACAGCCGTTGCAAACTTCCAAACAACCGCCATCGTGAGTACTTTGACAGCCAGGATTTGAGGTTCATCTTTTAACCTGTCGAACCAGATGGTCCGAACTAGTGTTCTTAGCGATGCTTTGAAGAGCATCAACAACGCCGAGAAACAGGGCAAGCGCCAAGTCATCCTTCGCCCTTCCTCCAAGGTCATTGTCAAGTTCCTTGAGCTCATGCGGCGACATGGCTACGTCTCGGAGTTTGAAGAGGTGGATGATCACCGTGGAGGCAAGATTGTCGTCCAACTCACCGGCCGGTTAGTTATGACCCCTGGCTCTGCGACTCACGCGTGTCTAACTTGATTCGAGTCTGAACAAGTGTGGCGTCATCAGCCCTCGTTTCAACGTTCGCCTGGGAGACCTTGAGAAGTGGGTTGTTCGACTTCTCCCTGCCCGCCAGTTCGGTCACCTCGTCCTCACCACTTCCGCTGGTATCATGGACCATGACCAGGCTCGTCGCAAGCACGTCTCTGGCAAGATCATCGGTTACTTTTACTAGATGCTCTCTTGCAGCAGCAATTCGGGACCTTGTCGGGCGTGAGAGACTTGACGAATGGTACGGCACATTGGGTTCTGATGTTGAAGGCTCTTGGTAGAAATACGTAGAGGAGAAATAACAGAACCATTCGGGATTCTCTTTGAAACCCCCCTATATCTTGATCTGCCACCCTGAAGTGACTTGATGTAAAACTTGCTTGTCCAAAAAGACCTTGAAGCGAGCATATGCTCAACAGGCAGATGTAAACGCTGGGCTTTCAAGCTTTACAAGCAACAGTAGACTCCGTCTCTAACCTTTATGCACGGACCAGTCATGACGGGACCTTCTAGTGCATTTCTGAGGGTTTGCCATGTCCAGAATTACCCCTCAATCAATGTGTCTTGGATTCCTTTCCAAGCTTGTTGAAGAATGTGGATAGCACACCAACGCACATCAGTCCTTAGTTTATAGCATGCATGACACGTCAATAGCCTACTAGAAGGTTCGTTACTGCGTAATGAAAAGCAAGGCGAACTTCAGCAGGGTAGATTGAATGCTTTGATCGGGTGTAAGGAATATTTCATGGCGTTGGAGCTTTGACCCTGCAGTTGAGCTGAAGGCTTGCAGCTATAGTTGGAATGTAAGAGCAGTCCCTTGCGCGTGACATCTGTTCTTCTCAATCTGAAGGGGCTTGGGGAGGTATTGTTCAAAAAGACAGATTTGTGGCTGACGATTTGGTCCTAGAAATATTCTGAAGGTAATTCTCAGCTTTGAAACGTGGTTTTTCCCGTAATGAATTAACTATGAACCGTTTCTTGGCTGGATGTGTTGATCTTGATGCGTTTTGACATTGGTGTGGCTGCAGTCTGTCTGTTTCTGGGGCAATGGCGCAGATTAGGCGTCAATAAAGAGAACCGGGCCACTTGAATGACAACACACCACAAGAGTCATAAGCCAGGAACGTCTATCTTGGAGGGTCTGTGGCACAGCATCTAAACCCATTTAACTCTTATTATACCTCTTGTCTTTCCCAATTCGACATAACATCTGCACTACCTATCAATCTCTCCTACAGACAAACAAACTGTAAGTAAGGTCCCTGAAAATCAAACCCCATGTTCTGTTCTGTCCCGCCGTCATTTCAGGCACTTCAATTTCAACCCCTGCAAATCAGGTGACGGGCGCTTGTTGACTTTCAGTCTTCCCCCTCCAAAAAAACGAACAGGACCATTTGATCGTCCCTCACCCAAACCAAACAAACAAGGATCTGGGAACAAATAGAGTCCCTTGCCTGTTCTTACCTTACCTTACCCTGCCCTGCTTACTTAGTATTTTGGCAGTTGCTTCTTTGCTGCGCATGCTTGTTCCTCTGCAGATTTGGATTCACTAACCTTGCGCTGGGCTCTCTTCTATAGAAAGAACGACGCACTTCTGCTTTGTTTCCTCTTGAACATCCATCCATTGCCCTTTCACTCACGCGACAAAGCCTCTTCCCTCTGTTCGATACCCGCAGTTCAATCCGCTGCTTTAAAACTCTGGTACGTTCAACTTACATTCCCTCGATTATCATCAAGCCAGTTCTTGCTCCTGTAGAGCGTCTCGCGCGCTTATGAGAGCCCAACTAGAGCTATATATATGATGGATCCTCCTCGCCGCTCTCGTTTATTTCATAAGCTAATTACCCGCTTAGTCCGCTTCATAAAGCACAACAAGAAGAAACAACATCATCCACTCGAAAGATACCCCGTCTCGACCTCTCCCCAATACACATTTTCACCCTCAAACATTACCATGGCTGAAGAAGAAGATTTTAGCTCCATACCCTTGGCGGACCGCTTCGCTCACAAGGTCTGGAAGGTTAGAAAAGGAGCATATGAAGAAGCAACCAAGCAGTTCGAAAAGTCTCCCGACGAGTCCGATCCTTGTTTCCGACCATTTCTGAACGAGCCCGGCCTGTGGAACAAAGCAGTTCTCGATTCAAACGTCGCCGCTCAACAAGAAGCCGTCACCGCCCTATGCGCATTCCTCAAATATGGTGGCCGAGACTGCTGTCTACGGACGCGTAACCAGACCATTACACCCATGGTCGAGAAGTGTCTATCCTCCACACGTGCCGCGATCAAGCAAAACTCCATCGAAGCTTTGCTGTTGTACATTGAGCTCGATGTCGCTGGACCGGTCATTGAGGACATGCTGCCCGGTCTTTCCAACAAGGTTCCCAAGAACGTTGCTGCGACACTGAACGCTCTTACACAAATCTTCCACAACTATGGCTGCAAGGTCGTCGATCCCAAACCTGTGCTCAAAGCGCTCCCCAAAGCCTTCGGTGCTGCCGACAAGAACGTCCGTGCTGAAGCAACGAACTTGACAGTCGAACTTTACAGATGGCTTAGGGAGGCTATGAAGCCCATGTTCTGGGGCGAGCTCAAGCCTACCCAACAGACCGATTTGGAAGCGCAGTTTGAGAAGATCAAGGCCGAGGGCCCTCCCAAGCAAGAACGACTCCTCCGATCGCAACAAGAAGCTCTCGACGCGGCCCCTGAAGGTGGCGAAGAGGGTGAAGAAGGTGAAGCAGAGGGCGAAGAGGTTGGTGAGGTCGACGCTTTCGATTTGGCTGAACCCCAGGACGTTAGTAAGAAGATTCCGCCCAACTTCAGCGACCTGCTCGCCTCCTCGAAGTGGAAGGATCGAAAAGAAGCCGTCGACGGCCTTCACCAGGCACTCAACGTTCCTCGCATCAAGGAAACCGATTTCAACGAAGTTTGTCGTGGATTGGCCAAATGCATGAAAGACGCCAACGTTGCCGTCGTCACTCAAGCTGCTCTTTGTATCGAGGCTCTCGCAAAGGGCTTGCGAAAGGCCTTTGCCAAGTACCGCAGTGTTGTGATGCAGCCCATCATGGATCGACTCAAGGAGAAGAAGGCGTCTGTTGCGGATGCTCTCGGCGCCGCTCTCGACGCTGCTTTCGCCTCCACCGATTTGACTGAGTGTCTTGAGGACATCACCACATACCTTGGAAACAAGAACCCTCAGGTCAAGGAGGGTACCATGAAATTCTTGATTCGCTGCCTACGAAACACCCGAGATGTGCCCAGCAAGCCCGAGCAAGCTACCATCTGCGAGGCTGGAAAGAAGCTCTTGTCCGAGTCAAGCCCTGCTCTTCGAGATGGCGGTGCTGAGATTCTTGGTACCATCATGAAGATTATTGGTGAGCGTGCTATGACACCTAACCTGGAAGGTCTGGACGATATCCGCAAGAACAAGGTCAAGGAATTCTTCGAGGCCGCCGAAGTCAAGGCAAAGGAGAAGCCCAAGCCCAAGGCGGCACCTGCACCCAAAGCGGCGCCTCCCAAGAAAGTCATGGGTGGAAAGAAGCCTATGGCCAAGAAGCCCGCTCCCGCTGCGGCTGCGGCTCCTGTAATGCCAGACGACACTCCTCCCACTCCTCAGGCAAGCTCTCGACCTGCCGCTGGCAGGCTTGGAAAGCCTACACTCGGAGGATTGAAGGGTCCCCAAAAGAGGACGCTTGGAGCTCCGGCACCTGGCTCTCCTCGCCGAGCACCCGCTGCTCCTGTTATGCCCGACGACGAGCCTGCGCCACCCGCCCAACCTCGCCTTGGTCTCTCTCGTGGACTTGCTGGACGCTCTCTCGCCAAACCTACTGCACCCTCACCCCCAGTTGCACCAGCCTCACCGCCTCCATCTAGCGGTCTCACTGCTGTGGAGCGCGCCGAGATTGAGGAGCTTAGAGCAGCCAACGACCGGCTAACCCGTCAAGTTGATGAGATGCGACAGGAACGTAGCAAGTTCATGTCAGAGATTCAAGAGCTCAAGAACCAGAATGCTGGCCTGATCGAAGACCACACCCGAGACGTCTTGAGCATCAAGGCTAAGGAGACACAATTGGTCCGCGCGAGAAGCGATGCAGAGGCTACTGAACAGACCAACGACCGCCTGCGACGCGAGCTAGAAAGACTTAAGAAGGCTTTAAGCCGTGCTGAAGGATTGGGCAGCTCTGGAAATGGTATGAACAGCCCTGGCCTTGCTTCTCCTACACACGATGATGTCTACCGAGACCATGGACCTCCCTCAGTGAGCCGCCATAGAATGAGCGTCACTAGCAGTATGTCTGAAGAGAAGGAAAATGGCGAGCAGATGATTCCTCGTAACAAGCTTAGCCCTGAGATGCGATATGCTGGTAGCGCAAGCTCATCCGGACGTGGATCTCCCGCACGAGGCTTTAGAAGTGCTGCCTCGTATCGCGATGACGATCATGCACCGGCACCTTCTCAACGGCCCATGTCATCGCTGCCTCAGCCTACTGGAGGCAATGGTGCCGAGAGTTGGAGAAGGGCAGCAGAGGTGACGAGTCAGCTGAAGGCCCGGATTGAACAGATGAAGGTACGTTAACCCAACACTACTAGTATCCGATGCGACGGAAACTGACCACCCACAGGCCAAGCAAGGGCTCGCTCGACCTTAGGAGCATTGTTAGAAACTCGGCGCACAATGATTGTTTGTTCTAGTATTAACGATGATGATTTTTGGGAGGTTTATGGCGGAAAAGCTGGATGGGTACTCCTGGGACTGACACAGACGGTCCTGGTCAGGTTGCATTTTCACGGCGTTGGAAGTTGTGCCACCATCTATCTGTCTTGCGTGTTTCGCTTCTCTTCGAGGGTCTGATAGAATTACACATGGGCCAAGGCTGTGTTTGGGATTTTGCGAAGCAATACCCGCGGCGGGTCAGAGATACCTAGTTTTTTTAATGCATCGGGTTGGTGATTTGTCTTTTTACAACATTCATTTCAAGCGTGATATTCATCTTTGCCAAGTCAAATATTATCTTCAACTTAAACGTAGTATCTTGTGACATCAATTCATTAAGTGAACATGTAAGAAATAAATACACCAAATCCCCCGGAACTCCGTTATGATCGGTAAGCGCTTCAGCTCAACTTCAGCTCAACCTGGCCATTGTGACAGCGACTTATTCCTTCTTGTCCTTCTTACCCTGAGATTTATCGTCCTTCTTTTCCTCGGGCTTTTCCTCCCTCTTGTCTTCGGACTTGTCCTTCTTATCGTCCTTCTTCTTGGAGTCTTGTTTAGAGTCGTCCTTTGACTCCTTGTCGGATGATTCCTCTGACTTCTCTTCCTTGTCAGACTTCTCTTCATCGGACTCGGACTTTTTGTCTTCGTCCTTGGACTCATCCTTTGAGTCAGACTCTTTCTTGTCATCCTTGGACTCACCCTCGTCCTTAGACTCAGAATCCTTGTCATCGTCCTTCTTCTCAGCATCCTTGTCCTTGCTCTCGCTCTTCTCATCGCCCTTCTTGTCACCCTCTTCAGAAGCCTTGTTCTTGTCGTCGCCCTTCTTAGTCTTGTCATCGCCCTTGCTGTCCTTCTTCTTACCCTTCTTCTCCTCTGCCTTCTTCTTCTTCTCAGCCTCCTTTGCCTTCTTTTCTTCCTCCTCCTTTTCCTTTCGTCGACGTGCCTTCTCCTCAGCCTCTAGCTTCTCCCAGTTGGTATCGTGATCAGCAATACCGGACCTGGCGAAGTTGTCGCTTAGGCCCTTGGCAGTGATGGCATCGCCCTGCTTGATCTTGGCGCGGCCGATGAGGGAGATAAAGATAGCGAAGCCAACCATAGCTGTGAGAAGGAAGCGGTATGATCCGTACCATCGAGGCGCCCATCCCTTTGTCGCGGCGCGGGAATCGGCAAAGTACAGAGCCACGAAAGCCATGAATTGAGAGGTGAGCGCGTACTCTACGGGGAGCATAAGAGTTGGCCATGCGACAATGGAAGCTGCAAGACCCATGCCATAGCGAAAACGGGTGCGTTCACGAAGGGGTTGCTTCTCAGCGTACTCGAGACCCTGGTTTCAGTGATTAGCTCATACTCAGCCGTTGTGAAGCTACAGACCTACCCAGTGAATAGCGCCAAGGAAAGAGATGATGACAGCACCGTATCCAAGCTGTAGAGGCTCAATTACGCTCAGTAGGTATTTAGCTGTTTCGTGATCGATCATGATAGCATCGTAGAAGGAGTTGCCTGTAGGAATGGGCTTGTTCAGGTCCCAGGCGAGGAAGACGGTTGAAAGCGAAGTTCCTAGGTAGGGTAGTGTGCCAGCCAAACCGAGGATGCTCGACTCGCGGGGGACGTCTGTAAAGGTGAAGGTGTCTTTGACAACGTCCTTTGAACTGTTAGAATCTTCGAATTGAGGGTTGTGCTAGGGTGAAGCTTACGATATCATGCTTAAGCTCGCTAGTCATGTCCTGGTCAGCACTCTTGGAGCCCTGAGCTGTAGACGAAGCATTGGCGGTCGAACTCTTAGATGAGACAACACTTGGGTTGGATTGGAGGAGCTCTTGTCCGCGCTTGCGCTCAGCTTCAATGTCAATGGGCTGCTTGGGAGGGGGAGGATTCTCGTCGTCGGATTTGCTAGAGTAAACGGCGCGCTGTTGACGCAAAAGAGGCGCAATTGATGCGCGGGGGAGGAATTGCGAAGCTCGATTGGAAGAAGCTCTTGAGGCAATGCCCCAAAGGGAGCGAGATGAGGTACGGAACATTGTCAATGTGATAGGTGAGAGTTCAATGGGAGGCACGCGAGTAACTGCTGCAACTAGACGAAGCTGATTTCATCTGATAAGGGAAAAGGCATAAAAAGAGGAAAAGGTTCAGAAGGTCGGGAATGAAAGGGACCAGCGAAAACTGAAATACCATGAGGATCGGTGTTTCAATGGAGACACCCCAATCATGAAAGCTTCCTGTTATTCCAAGATCTTGGAGCTATCTACGTAATGGCTTGTTTGCTACGGTTTCCTTAGTAATTGTACCTGGCACTGGAACTGGAAATTGGGGAAATAGAATTTCTGCTTGTCACACGTAGAGACAGTCCCGTCCGGCCCGGAAAAGGAGACCAAGCCGTTCATGGATGTACCAGTTTGTTCTGTTTTTGTTGTCACGCCTACATCATCGCGATGGATGTGAAGCTATGTCGTGACGTCATGAGAGTTGTATTTTGGTGGAATAGCTCTAGACCTCGCTCAGGTGGGCAGCCATTGATATGAAGACCAATCAGACCTAGACCTTGAAAGCGAGAATGGTTACTGAAGTCGGCAATGATGAGAAGAGGGAATGCACAGATAGCTGAACCTTCTATCGTATTGTTGATATCGATAAAGAGTCATGATGTTTTACAGATTAACTCTGCCAAGTCATTGTCCAGAAGATCTTCCATGATGCCCCACCAAAAGTGTCCTGTGCTTTGATGTGCTCCAGGGCTAGGTCCAGCTATTAGCAGCTCTAAAATTTACGGTAGGTACCTGACCACGTTGGAACGTAAAAAATAAAGCCACCATCAGTTCGAAGCCAATTCGGTACTTGCTCCTCTACCAGAATCTTCACCAAACAACAAGTACCTCTGACAGCATCGTCATACACGCCACACCATTCCCCAAAACCGCTGCTTCCCACTTTTGCTCCGGGCCCAGCTGCGTCACTCACTCACTCACAACCCGACACGAAACCCACCTTTTCAATATCTCCTCCATCACCGAGTTTCGTCCATCTTTGATACTCGAGAGGCATAATCGATAATACCCTCACCCACCGAATCCCGCTTTTCCCCTCTATTCCCACACAAAGCCTCAAGGGGAAATACCTACGATACTGCCTCGAGTGTAACCCCGCTCTACAAAGTCCTATACCTCACGTTCACGCCCGAGGGTAGCAGTCGCTTCACCGATCGAGCCTCGCATGGCACCCGTGTCAACAACCACACGCCGGCAGATGAGTCCTCGATAAATCAAATAACACGAACCCTACCTTTCCCTCCCCGGCCCGGGTTACGGCCACAACACTGCCAGAATGCTCGAAGGTCTCGTCGCTGGCCTGCTTAACCGGTTCCTGGGCATGTATGTTAAGAACTTCGACCCAGCCCAGTTGAAAGTCGGTATCTGGTCCGGCGATGTTAAGCTCCGCAACCTCGAGCTGCGCCGCGAGGCACTCGACCAGCTCAAGCTTCCTATAAATGTCATGGAGGGTCACCTCGGCGAGCTTACCCTCGTCATTCCCTGGTCAAACCTGCGCGGTGCACCTGTCAAGGTCTTTATTCAGGATGTCTTTCTTCTTGCCAGCCCGAAGGAAGAGGCTGAGTACGATCAGGACGAGGAAGATCGCAGGAAACAGCGCCTCAAGATGGAGAAGCTTGACAGTGCCGAGTTGCTCAAGGAGAGGAACCAGGAAGGCTTAAGTCAGGAGGAGCAGAAGAAGAGCCAGAGCTTTACACAAAGTCTGGTGACCAAGATCGTAGACAATCTTCAAGTCACGGTCAAGAACATACACATTCGATACGAAGACTCCATCTCAGCACCAGGCCACCCATTCGCCCTCGGTGTCACTCTCGAGGAGTTCAGTGCCGTCAGTACTGACGGTCAGTGGAAGCCTACTTTCATCCAGGACTCTAACACAGTCACTCACAAGCTGGCTACCTTGGGTGCTTTGGCTGTGTACTGGAATACCGATTCCACTCTTCTCGGAACTGGCCGAGAAGCTTCAACCTCTTCAGAGGAATTAATGCCACATGATGAAATGGTAGCCAAGTTCAGAGAAATGATTGGAAAAGACGCGCAAGAGAATGCAAACCATCAGTTCATCCTCAGGCCCGTCAATGGCCAAGCAAAGATCGAGCTCGACAAGTCGGGAGATATCAAGGTACCCAAGTTCAAGGCCAACTTGCTTTTCGAAGAGATTGGTCTTGTCCTGGATGATGATCAATATCGAGACGCTTTGATGATGGTCGATTTGTTCCATTACTTCATTCGACATCAAGAATACAAACGCCTACAGCCAAAGAATGTCCGACCTAAGGAAGATCCCCGCGCTTGGCTCGAGTTTGCAGGTAACGCTGTGTTGTCAAAGATTCACGAACGCAACCGCAAATGGTCATGGGACTACTTCCGCGAGCGACGAGACGATCGAAAACGATACATCGAGCTGTTCAAGAAGAGAAAACAAGGCCATCAGATGTCTCCTGAGGAAACTGATGAGATCAATGCTCTCGAGTGGAAGCTTACGTACGAGGATCTGCGATTCTGGCGATCTTTGGCCCGCAACCAGCTTAAGAAAGAGAACGCAGAGGCTCTCAAAAACCAGCCACAACAACAGCAACAGCAACAACAAGGCTGGATCTCGTGGGTGTGGGGTTCGAAGCCTCAAGAGAAGATTGAACAGAATGAAGAGAACATACAAATGACCGAGGAGCAGCGACAGGAGCTCTACGAGGCCATCGACTGGGACGAAAAGAACGCCATCGCCGATGAAGTCGATGTTCCTCGTGAGGCTATCAAGATGTGCATCGAGACGTCCCTGAGCACAGGTAGCTTTACACTCAAGAAGAGTCCTCACGACCATGCAGCAGATCTTCTCAGTCTGCACTTTGATGTCTTCAAAGCCAAGATGCTACAGAGAAAGGATTCAGTTCTTGCTAATGTCAGCCTTGGTGGCCTTCGTGTCAACGATGGCACGACACCAGACTCAGTCTACCCTGAGATTGTCCGAGTCAAGGATGCACCGACTGACAAGCAGCGTAAGCGACTGTCGTTGGCCGAACTCGAGCAGCCAGAGGAAGACCCCTTCTTCCAGTTTGAGTTTGAGCAGAACCCTATCGAGCGTGAGGGTGATATTGCTGTCGTCGGAAAAATGAAGCCCCTTGAGGTTATTTGGAACCCCAACTTTGTTGTTGGCATCGCCGACTTCTTCAGACCTCCTGAGCGTCACATGGAGTCTATTACCGCCCTCATGGAGAGTGCTGGTGCGACCGTTGAGAGCATTCGTGAGCAGACTCGAGCGGGTCTTGAGTTCGCCTTGGAGGAGCACAAGACGATCAATGCTGAGTTGGATCTCCAAGCACCTCTTATCATCGTGCCTGTCAGCATCACCACTGAGAATTCTACATGCTTGATTGTAGATGCTGGTCACATCCACGTCAACAGTGAATTGGTAGACCAAAGTACAATGAAGGAGATCCAGTCGAAACAAAAGCAGGCATACAGCGACGAAGATCTCAAGCGACTCGAGTCCGTCATGTACGACAAGTTCATTGTCAAGCTGACATCGACCCAAGTCCTCATCGGACCCTCAGTTGAGGACACCAAAGCTCAGTTGGTTGAGAAGACAGATGAAGCTCATCTCCATGTTGTGGAGCGGATCAATGTGGACTTTGTTGTCGAGACATCCATCCTACCAAAGGCTCCCAATTTGACCAAGTTCAAGGTCTCAGGGCATCTGCCAATGCTTCACGCCACCGTCTCCGACACCAAGTATAAGAATCTCATGAAGGTTATTGATGTGGCTATCCCCAAGTTTGGCGGACCTGCCCCAAGATTGGAGGAACGCAAGGAGCCATCTCGTCCCCGTCTTAAGAGCAACTCATCCAACCGGTCACGAAGAAAGTCTCAGCGTGAGCGAAGGCAGTCCACACCTTTCCCCTTTATGCAATCGGAAACCGCTGTCGTGCTTGATGATATGGATGAAGACGACGATGACTTTGAAGATGCCCCAGATGGAGGTGACGCTGAGCAACTCCGAGTTCAGCAACGTATTTTTGAGTTCAAGTTCAAGGTTGATACCCTCAAGGGTTCACTTTACCGAAGTGACCCTGATGGACAAAAGCCTGATGCGTTGCTTGTTGAATTGGTGGCCGAGAGATTTGACCTCGAGTTCTACACCAGACCTTTCGACATGGTAGCCGATGTTTCACTTGGCTCGGTCACTGTCGATGATTTTGTGGACAACCCGTCTGCTGAATTCAAGTCGATAATATCGTCTGGGGATAGTGAGGATCTCAAAGAGGGCCGCAGCTTGGTTCACGTCAAGTTTGTCAAGGTCAACCCCTTGTCTCCAGAGTTCATGCCTGTGTATGAGGGCGTAGAGACCAATATCAACGCTGTCATATCCACAATCAACTTGGTTGTTACCCGAAAGACACTGCTAACGCTATTGGACTTTATCCTCATCACATTTACAAATAACGAGGACGAGTCGAACAATAGCAAGGCTATACTGGATGATGATGACGATTCGGAAAGCGTTGATACTGCTGTAGCGGTCGTCAACGCACCCTCAGTAAACTCCAACACAGGATCTATTCGTGTCAAGGTTGACTTGAAGAGTATCAGACTGATCCTCAATAATGATGGCATTCGGCTTGCTACACTCTCCTTCAACAAGGCTGACGCTGGTATCTTCCTCCGAGGCAAGACCATGCGTATCTCAGCTCGACTTGGTGATCTTTCACTCGTTGATGACGTTAATCTCGGCGTCTCAGAGGATTCACATCTTCGAAAGCTCGTGACCATCCAAGGAGATGATTTGGCAGACTTCCGCTACGAGACTTTCGACTCTTCCAACCTCAAGGCGTACCCAGGATATGACAGCTCTGTCTTCCTCCGTGCTGGTTCCGTCAAGGTGAACTTTGTGGAGGAGCCATTCCGCAAGATCATTGACTTCTTGGTCAAGTTTGGCAAGATGCAGGCTCTTTTCAATGCTGCGCGCCAAGCTGCTATGAACCAGGCCAATCAGCTGCAACAGAGCCCAAGCCGCTTCAAGTTTGATGTTGTTGTCAACACTCCCATCGTTGTCTTCCCTCGAGTGCAACAGCCAGGTCAGACTGAGAGAGATGTCGTCACTGCTTACCTTGGTGAGATCTACGCTCAGAACAAATTCACCCCTCTGGACGACAGCGAGAACTCAGATATTGCCATGAAGCTGTCTGCTGGTATTCGAAACATCAAGCTCACTTCCGACTTCCATTACGCTGGCGGAGACTCAGAGGAGCTCGAGATGATCGACCATGTCGATCTTGGATTCAACATTACATATGCTGAGCACAAGTCTGGTGTCAAAAGGCCAGAGACTGAAATAGAAGGAACGATGTCTGACTTCAATCTACGACTCACTCAGTACCAAGTCAAGTTCCTTCTCGAGATCTCCAAGTCTGTGCCTGCAGCATTTGCCGGCGAAGGTAACGACAATGAGGAAGAGGCTGCCAAGGCAGTTGACGAGGAAACTCTACAGCGCGCTCGCACAATTAACAGCGACGACAAGTCTGGCGAAGACCAGAGTCTGATTGATCTTGGGCCCGAGCTTGGCTCCATCGACAAAGAATGGACTAAACTTGACCTTGTTTTCCGAGTCAACACCATTGGTCTCGAAATGATCAATGCGCCTGAGAATGAGCCTGTCCACGACATTGCGAGGTCCAGCCTATCTCGATTCTCGCTTGATGACACAAAGGTCAAGACGAGGATGCTCTCCGACGGTTCGCTTGAGGCAGAGCTGCTTATCCGATCTTTCACGATCTATGATAGTCGGCCACGCGAGACGAACAAATTTCGTCGTATCATGTCATCGATGAACAAGGACGTTCAACAACTGATGGCCAGCGTCACAATGTCGGGCGGTAAGGAAAAGAGCTTAATCGCCATGGCTACAATCGACAGTCCACGAGTGATCTTTGCGCTCGACTATCTTTTCGCTCTCCAGAAATTTGCCATGGAGGCGTTGACAGTTGATGAGGGCAGCCCAATGGATGACGAGAGCATTGCTGAGACGACGCCTGACGAATCCGACACCGAGTCCATGCAAGTCTCTTATGCCGGTAACGCCTCGCGTCCACGGTCGCAAATCTCGCGACAACGGAGCGAAGAGGTCACTCAAAAACAAGAGAAGAAGGAGTCCGCGATGAGCATTGCTTTCCGCGTCAATCTCGTTGACGCACAAGTCATTCTGATCGCCAACCCCTTGACATCAAGCTCCGAGGCGATTGTCCTATCCATTAGACAGATGCTTCTCTCACAACAGCATGCCTTGACTTTCCAAATTTCTGAAATCGGCATGTTCTTGTGTAGAATGGACAAGTTCGAGACATCCCGTCTTCGTATCATTGATGACTTTTCAGTCCAATTGAGCATGGATAACTCCAAGCCTCAAGCTACTGACATCCATGTAGACATTGAACCACTTGTCTTGCGACTGTCACTACGCGATATCCTCCTTGTTCTTCAGATTGTGACCAAAGCGGGCGAATTGTCTGGCAACGAGCCTAAACAAGTTAAGGAGACTCCTGCTGAGCAGAAAGCAAGAGAACTTCGCCACGCTGGAATGAAGCAACGATCTGCTAGTGGGCGAGGCCAGTCTACCATTGCTGGACGAAGCAAGGTGACAGCAACCTCTCACGCCGTTACCCATGCCGATAACAAGGGCAAGTCTCCAGAGCAGGTTGCCCAAAAGAACTACGAGACGTTGTCAGCGACTGTGGACGGCGTCCGTGTTGTCCTCATTGGCGACGTCCACGAACTTCCAATCCTTGACTTGGGTATCAAAAACTTCACTGCTTCAGCTGAGAATTGGTCGTCGAACCTCAAAGCCGAGACTGCCATTGACCTGTACTCCAATGTTTACAACTTTGCCAAGTCTAGCTGGGAACCTCTTCTCGAGCCATGGCAAGTTGGCTTCGGTGTAGCAAAGGACCCTATTTCGGGACTTCTGTCTGTCGACGTTGCTTCCAAGAAGGTCTTTGATGTGACCGTTACCACTGCTTCAATTGCTCTGGCTTCCAAGTCATTCCAGTTCCTTACATCCGCCGAGGATGTGCTGGACAAGCCACGTGGTGTTGAAGCACCGTACCGCATCCGAAACTACACTGGCTTTGATGTTGTTGTGCACTCTAAGAGTCCTACCAGCGATGAGCCTATCAATCTCCGCTTGGAGGATGGCAAGGAAGCCCCCTGGAGTTTTGAGCATTGGGAGAAGATGCGTGAGAACCTTCTCACCGAATCGAACCAGAATTACGTCTCTGTTCAGTTGGATGGCAGCGGTTTCGATCCTGTTAAGAATGTGAGAATCAACCGAGAAGGAGAATACCTGTATGGTCTCCGACCCAAGGCTGATGTTCTACATCGTCTCTGTGTTGAGGTCGAGTTGGGCACCGATAACATCAAGTATGTGACCTTCAGATCCCCACTTCTTGTGGAAAATGCCACACAGATACCAGTCGAACTCGGTATCTTTGATGTACAGGAGGGTCATCTACTCAAGATTGAGAAGATCGCACCTGGTGCCGCTCGACCCGCTCCTGTCGGCGCCGTTTTTGAGAAGCAAGTGATTGTCCGACCTGATGGTGGCTTCGGCTATCAGTGGAGTACCGACCATCTGTTCTGGAGAGACTTGCTCAAGAGACCTACAAAGCAGGTCGTGTGTAAGGGAGAGAATGGCGATCCATTCTACTTCCAGGTCCATGCCCGTTTCGACAAGGGCAACCCATTGACCAAGTGAGTTTTCCTATCCCAGCATATGTAATAATACTGACAAATGCAGACAATACCCGTACATGAAGGTCAAGCTCTCAGCACCAGTCACGCTTGAGAATCTGCTTCCGTATGATTTCAAGTATCGTATTTATGATAAGAACACTAAGAAAGATTGGACCAACTTCTTGAGGAAGGGAGGTGTCAGTCCCGTTCACGTTGTTGAGCTTTCACACCTTCTGCTCCTCAGCGTCGACATGCAAGATACAGTGTTTAAGGCAAGCGAATTTGCTATCATCAACTCAGGCACGAATGAAGAGTTCCGCAAGGAGTATAAACTCGTTGTCAAGGATGACAAGGGATTGCCGCTGCATCTCTCACTACATCACTTCAAGATCCCCAACAGTGGAGGTGCTTCCAAGATCACAGTGTTCAGCCCGTACGTCGTGTTGAACAAGACTGGCGTCGACGTTCAAGTCCGCGCAAAGAGCTTCTTACAACAAGCTAAGCCAGCTGCGGGTCAATTCCCTCTTATGGATACATCTGATCGAGAACGGCCGAAGGCTCTACCTTTTATGTTTTCGTATGGAAATGATGACCATCGAAACCGAGCTCTTCTCAAGATTGCCGACTCGGAATGGAGCAAGCCTCAAAGTTTCGATGCTATTGGCAGTACCACTGAGGTTGTGCTGAACTCGGCGACCAAGGATAAGGAGATTCACGTGGGCGTTACCGTCGAATCTGGTGAAGGCAAATACAAGCTCACCAAGGTTGTTACAATTGCTCCTCGATTTGTTCTGCACAACAAGATGGATGGAGAAATTCTTGTTCGAGAATCCAGCTCCTCTGGCTATCTCACTCTTGGCGATGGCGCCCTGCAGCCTTTGCACTTCATGCAAAAGTCGAAGGTTAAGCAATTGTGTCTCTGCTACCCTGGCGTCAACAACCAATGGACATCTCCTTTCAATATTGCGGACATTGGCACAACTTATGTCAAGATCGCCAAGGCTGGACAGCGACAGAACCTTGTCAAGGTCGAGGTTCTGATGGAGAACTCAACGGTCTTCCTGAACCTCAGCATGGAGAAGAAGAACTGGCCATACTCGATGCGCAACGAGAGTGATGTTGAATTCATGTTCTGGCAAGCCAATCCCAATGTTGACGAAGACGGCGATGAGGACCGCAGCGGATGGCGCCTGATAAGATATCGTCTCCCGCCTCGCAGCATCATGCCATATGCTTGGGATTTCCCTGCTGCCAAGTTCCGCGAGATCATCATCTCTGCAAATGGCAAGGAGCGCCATGTCAAGCTGGCTGAGATCGGCAACCAGATTCCGATGAAGTTCCACACTTCGTCTGGAGCTCCTAAGATTGTCGATATCAACGTTGCAGCCGATGGACCGAAGCAAACCCTGATTCTCAGCAATTTCAGAGCTAGCAAGAGTATGTACAAGCCCAAGGCATTGGCTAGGACCAATACCGGCCCCGAGGCTTTTGAGGTCAAGGATCAAGATACAGGCGCTACATTCCGCGCGCAGCTCAAGCTGGCCGGTATTGGCGTCTCTCTGGTGAACGCTCAAATGAAGGAGCTTGCCTACCTGACCTTCCGCGATGTTCAATTACGATACAGTGACTCACCTTTGATCCAGACAATCTCGATGGCTATCAAGTGGATCCAGATCGACAATCAATTGTACGGTGGCATTTTCCCTATGGTCCTTTACCCCAGTGTTGTGCCAAAGAAGGCGCAGGAGGTGGAGGCTCATCCATCGCTGCACGCTATGGTCAGCCGTGTCAAGGATGATTCGTATGGTGTGCTGTATGTCAAGTACGCGACCATTCTGCTGCAGGAAATGACCATTGATCTGGACGAGGACTTTGTGTTTGCTCTTCTTGACTTCACAAACGTGCCTGGTGCCAGCTGGACAGATGTTCAAGATTCTGGCAAGCTATGCGACGAGGATCTTGACATTCCTGAGCCATCAGGCCAGCCAGCTGGTCAAGATATCTACTTTGAGGTTCTCAACATCCAACCCATGCAGCTTAACTTGAGTTTCATGCGCACAGAGCGTGTCAATGCTGAGGACAAGACATCATCGCGCAACCCCATCATGTTCTTCCTCAACGTCATGACCATGGCAGTCGGAAACGTCAACGATGCACCACTTCGGTTCAATGCGCTTATTCTGGACAACGTGAGAGTGACTACAGCGGTACTTATTCAGAATTTCTCCAGCCACTACAGTCAGGAGGTCATGTATCAGATCCACAAGATTCTGGGATCTGCCGATTTCCTCGGAAACCCTGTGGGTCTGTTCAACAGTATCTCGTCGGGTGTGACAGATGTGTTCTACGAACCGTACCAGGGCTTGATCCTGTCGGATAAGCCAGAAGAGTTTGGCCTGGGCATCGCCAAGGGAGCGGCTTCGTTTGCCAAGAAGACGGTATTTGGCTTCAGTGACAGTTTCTCCAAGTTTACAGGCAGTCTCAGCAAGGGACTTGCAGCAGCGTCACTGGACAAGCAATTCCAGGACCGCCGTCGTATCACAAGGGCTCGCAACAGGCCGAAGCACGCCTTGTACGGTGTGACTGCTGGCGCGAACAGCTTTATCACAAGTGTCGCATCGGGCGTCGGTGGCCTTGCACGCAAGCCTCTAGAGGGCGCCGAACAGGAGGGTGCTCTGGGTTTCTTCAAGGGTGTCGGCAAGGGCATGATTGGACTGGCTACCAAGCCGGCGGTTGGTGTGCTTGACATGGCAAGCAATGTCAGTGAGGGAATTCGCAATACTACAACAGTGTTTGACGGTCAAGAATTGGATCGCACACGATACCCACGATACATTCCACAAGATGGCATCGTGCGCCCTTACAACCCGCGGGAAGCTCTCGGCCAATACTGGCTGAAGCAAGTTGACAATGGGCGATACTTCGACGAGCAGTACATTGGACATCTTGAGCTACCCAAGGAAGATATGGTCGTCATGATTACATATGCTCGGATCTTGCTGATCCGATCGCGACGTCTGACAAGCGAGTGGGACGTGCCTCTGAAAGATGTTCAGACTATCGCAAAGGAGCGGACGGGTGTCAGCTTGGCTTTGAGAGGAGGAGTGAATGGGCCGTTTATTCCTATTGGCGAGGGCAGCGAGAGGGGATTCTTGTACAAGATGATCGGGGTTGCGGTTGAAGAGTTTAATAGGAGGTTTAGAAGTGGAGAGTAAAAGGAGGATATTGTACGAGGGTTGTTCTGGTGTAATAGGCAGTAGTGCGATGGAGTTTGGAGTATTGATAGATTGTATTTAATAAGAACACGAGGTACATGAATGAAGCATCGCGATATTTACAACTGTGACGGATCAAATGTCTAAGAGGACCAATGGTGACTACACTCAATTCCATCACGGCTTGGGATTGCAACGCATCGTGACAGAAACCATAGAAGTCTGTCTCAGCCTTTCGAAGCCCATCGTCTACACGGAAGACAGAATGAATAGCGACCCGAGACGCGAGTGTCTTGTTGGAAACATGCGGCATGACCCGGCGCGACAGATCAAGCTTGATTACACGAGTTGTAGCGACCGAGATAACCGTAAATGAGGCCGGGCTGTCGCTCTCTCGGCTGCGCTTAGTAATGGCTCATCGGCCAGACGGGGACCGACGAACCGAATGCAAACGCGAGAGAAGCGGTGTCATGAGAGACGGAGGCGATGCTATCGTTTACGGTTATTTGAGCTCTGTTGTAATGAATCGGCGGAGTTAAGGTTGGGGCGACACTCGGGAGTGAGAGTGGGATAGCCTGTTATCAGTGAAGCCAAAGTCAAAAAGAGGTCATCGTGATCTCACATGCGAGGGCAGCTCGGCAAACTTGGGATGGAAGAGAGAGGAGAAGAGAGGAGGGGAGATAGGGAGATGCCATATAAGGCAAGGACAAAAGAGACATGTGATGTAGATATGGAGTCAAGAACGAAGCGATTAGCAGATTAACGAAGATGAAATGAGTAGATCCAGATGGACAATGCATGCACTCTCGAAATTGAGGGGAAGTGTCAGTGTCAGTGTCAGTGTCAACCCAAGACAACGGTCTAGTCGTCTTGATAGAGGCTGACGGGCGGGCCAGACCGAGATATCGACGGAGATGGCCGACAATCACAGTGACATGCAAAACGACTATATCTTTCACGGAAGGAGACGAATGAGTTATCCATGTCTATCTCTTTTCAGGCTGACATGTGTGTGTGTGCGACTGTGCTTACCGTGCTATTATTTGCAGATAATAGGCTATCCCCCCCAGCCTCGGATGGTGTGAAGGGGAGGGGAGGGCAGGGGAGGGGGCCCGTTAGCTGAAGCTGGGGAAAGTAAGGTAGGCTATCATTCATCCCTGTCTAGTTATGCATGTCGATAAGCTCAAGCAAGACAAGCTGGGGGTTAGTGACAAGAGGAGGAGATGAGTGGTTGTTGTTGTTACATAACGAGGCGGCGGCTCTTTGAAGCTGTATGTATGTAGGTGTAAGCCAAGAGCAGAATGACCTACCTAAAGAGTGATAGTGCCATTTCGGGGTCGAAAGGTAAAAAGGCTGAATTTGGATTAAACATTAAAGAACGGGTGTGGCTTTTCCTGTATCAAGTGGAGAGGGGATCGGAGATTCAGACAAGAAACAGGTCTAGACATCTACAAAAGATATCAGCACAGATTCTTATCTACAGTATCTTGTGTCAGAGTAATAGATAGGGAACAGGCCAGTCTGTATCAGTGAATGCCCCCGGGGGAACGAGATGCAAATGGCGACCGAGAGAGAGCCAAGCTACACAAGTTCCCTCCCAATGAATCGACAACCAAGAGCTATTGGCCAATGAGTGAGCAAGTGGTGGGCAAAGGGACCTCCGAGCTATGCCATTAACGAGCGATTTCTCCGTTTGTGGAGACTACGTCAGTGGAGAAGACGAACCTGAGCTTTTGCAAACGTTCCAGCAACCTTCTAGATTAGGGATAGTACACGCCGAGGTTTAGGCCGGGGGTGGCGACTACAGGGCAGACTCGGCAGAGCAGTTACAGATACAGAGCATCAAGATTAGTACCTACAGAATACATGGAGAATACAGAGGATGAGGACGAGTACTATTCAGTAAGCAGAGGTGATACTGTGTCACGGTCACTGCTACAATACCTGCAGTGTATCGCTATTCTTCCGATCTGGAACACAAAAGATACTTACTTGGTGCAAGGCCCTCGAAGGCATCTCCGAAATATATGGACCCCAACTGATAAGCTCACAGTTCAGATCCTTTCCCTTGCCTTGACATGGCATCCTTGTTCTTGTCCTCGTGCTCACCTCCTCAAAAAAGATCGTCGTCTGAACAAACATTGGCTCAAGTCCTTATTTTAGTCTGGGGTTTAATTGAACCAACAGGCCAATCCAATCCAATCCAATCTACATACATCCCTCCATAGATAATGAATCGACATGGCACACCCCTCTAGACTCTGGTGTAACACTCCCCGTCCCGGAGCTGGAGGCAAAAAAAAAAGCTGGGTTAAAAAAGTCAAGAAATCCCCAGATTAAAAAAAATTGTCGACCCACGAAGATCGTCTCTTCTGTCAGTTCAGTTCAGTTCAGTTCAGTTGCTCCATCGTCTGACTCCAGTCTCAAGTCTCCAGTTTTGAGGGCTAGCTAGACTTTTTGCTGAACAAAAGCCCTTGTTTCCTCAAGGGTCCTCTCTTGCCTCTTCTCTTGTGCTTCACTGCTCAAGCTGTTGAAGCTCCGAGGTCTCACCTCTAATTTCTATACCCTTCTGTTTTTATATACCCCAATTGTTAGTGTGAGAGACAGTCAAAATGGCAGACTCAAACATCCACCATAATCCCGACCCAGCTCTCGAGCCCTCCCACCAACACCACCACCAACATCATCACCACTCTCCCCGCGTCGACGCCCCCGGCCACGATGATCCCGTCTACACAACCGGCACCACAGACGCACCCAGTGTAGTCCCTCCTCAGCGCCACTCCCACGACCTCACTGAGAAGGAGAAGGAAAAGGAAAAGACTGGCGCGCACACTCCCCCTGACTACAGCGACCACGAGAAGCACGAAGCAGGCGTCGTCGACGAGTCCGCCCGCGCAAACTCCCACAGCGACGGCCCCGCTGTCGTCGGCTGGCGCAGGCGTCTCGGCCCTGTATATCGCTACCGCCGCCCTATAATCCACCTCATCCTCTTCTGCCTCTTCACCGGCTGGTGGATCGCTTCTCTCGTGCTGCACCGCAACGACAAGAACTGGGTTGTTCCCTTCCTCTTGTGGCTCGCCATCACCCTGCGTCTGATCTTCTTCCACGTCCCCAGTCGCCATGTCTCCAACGTCATCAAGAAGGTCTGGCTCAACACCGCCGTCAGGATCTACGACCTCATCCCCGCCCACCTGCGCACTCTCGCTGGCGCTACCGTCACTGTAGCTGCTATTCTCATCGGCGCCTTTGTCTCGGAGGAGGTCGCTGACAACACCCGTGAGAACCGCGCCGTGAGTCTTTTCGGCATGGCTGTGTTTTTGTTCATCCTCTGGGCTACTAGCAAGGACCGCAAGCGCATCAACTGGCGCACTGTCATCGGCGGCATGCTCACGCAGTATGTCATCGGTCTGTTCGTCCTGCGAACCTCTGTTGGATACGACATCTTCCGCTTCATCGCCGACCGCGCCGCTGATCTTCTGGGCTTCGCCAAGGCTGGTGTTGCCTTCCTGACCAGCGACGACGTCGCCAACACCGGCAACTTCTTCTTCGGCGTCATCCCCGCCATCATCTTCTTCATCTCCCTCGTCCAGGTCCTCTACTACATCGGCTTCATCCAGTGGTTCATTGTCAAGTTCGCCACCTTTGTCTTCTGGGGTCTCGGAGTCTCAGGCGCTGAGGCCGTCGTCGCTGCTGCTACTCCCTTCATCGGCCAGGGAGAGTCTGCCATGCTTGTCCGACCCTTCGTTCCTCACATGACCAAGGCCGAGCTTCACCAGATCATGACCTGTGGTTTCGCTACCATCTCCGGATCTGTCCTTGTCGGCTACATTGGTCTCGGTCTCAACCGTGAAGCTCTCGTGTCGTCCTGCATCATGTCCATCCCCGCTTCTCTGGCTATTTCCAAGATGCGATATCCCGAGACTGAAGAGACTCTCACAGCTGGTCGTGTAGTCATCCCTGATGATGATGAGCACAAGGCTGAGAACGCTCTCCACGCCTTCGCCAACGGTGCTTGGCTCGGAATCAAGATCGCCGGTACCATTGTCTGCTCTCTTCTCTGCATCATTGCTCTGGTCGCTTTCATCAACGGTCTCTTGACCTGGTGGGGACGATACCTCAACATCAACGATCCCACTCCTCTTACTCTCCAGCTCATTCTCGGATACCTTCTCTTCCCCGTGTCTTTCCTCCTCGGTGTATCTCGCACCAACGGAACCAACAGCACAGGCGATATTCTCCCCGTCGCCAAGCTCATTGCCGAGAAGATCATCACCGTACGTTTCTCCCCCTCCTCTCTCTCTCCCATCAGTTACTGACACATTCTAGAACGAGTACAAGGCCTTCTCCCTCCTCACAAACCCCTCCCCCGAGAACAACGAATTCTACGGTCTTTCCCCCCGCTCCCAGCTCATCGCCACCTATGCCCTCTGTGGCTTCGGCAACATCGGCTCCCTCGGTATCCAGATTGGTATCCTCAGCCAGCTCGCCCCCTCTCGCGGTGGTGACGTCGCCAAGCTTGCTGTCTCGGCTCTCATCTCTGGTGTTCTTGCCACTCTCACCTCTGCCAGTGTCGCTGGTCTTGTCGTCACCAACCAGCTTTCAAGTTTCGGCCAGAACGCTTCCTCATAATTGGTTTACGATGACGAAAATGTAAGAGAATAAGGAGAGATGTTGAGCACGAAAAGGATGTTTGAAGGGTCGATGATGATGTCGATATGCTATACTATATTATACTATTTACAAATGCTATATTGAACACCACAAGATGGTACTAATTCACATCACTTCTCTGCCGTGATCTCACTCCGAATTTGCCATACTCGCTTTCACTACGCCATACTCAGTCTCATATTTCCATTGTCCTACTCACTTACATCGTCACTCGTGACCGAAAACTTGGACGATATCACTGAACCACACTCGTCCGAGGCACAGGCCATTCCACGACACATCGCACCACAAAGCACTAAGCGGGGTCTTGAAAAACAGAATTGTCG